TATCGACGCAACGTCTTCAATACGTTGCACAATCTTTCTCATCCAGGTGCTCGTGCAACAGTCAAACTTATAGCCGAACGCTTTTGTTGGCCTGGCATGAATAAAGACGTGAAGGAGTGGGCACGCTCCTGTGTAAGCTGTCAGAAATCTAAGGTCATAAGACACAACAAATGTCCCTTAGGTTCTTTCAAAACCCCTGACGCTCGTTTCGACCACGTCCATCTAGATTTGGTAGGAACCTTACCCGACTCGAATGGATACTCATATCTCCTAACATGCGTAGACCGTTTTACTCGATGGCCAGAAGCGGTACCGATTAAGAACATTACTGCTGAAACCGTGGCCCGCACTTTCGTCGAACGATGGGTAGCAAATTTCAGCTGCCCTTCAACCATCACTACAGACCGCGGACGCCAGTTCGAATCTGGACTTTTCCGTTGTCTCACCTCACTTTTAGGAATCACGCGCTTCCGAACGACCGCCTATCACCCACAAGCAAACGGGTTGGTAGAACGTTTTCATCGACAATTAAAAGCTTCATTATCAGCTTCAAACGTTTCACAGTGGACAGACGCTCTTCCACTCGTCTTGCTAGGTATCCGCAATGCAGAGAAAGCTGACATTGAATACACGGTATCTCAACTCGTTTACAGGACGACACTCCGATTCCCAGGAGAATTCGTAGATCCTTCAGCTTCTTCATTGAACATGGATCTAAACTCTTACACGAGTAGGCTTACAAACGCTATGCGTTCAGTTAAACCTGCTCACACTCGACCTCAATCAACTGATGTTTTCGTTCAACCCGAATTACGACATAGTACACATGTCTTCGTTCGTCGAGACTCACATCGACGACCCCTCGAATTAGCATACGAAGGACCCTTCAAAGTTCTTCAACGCGAACCTAAGTACTATGTAGTAGATAAGAACGGTACGAACGATAGCATCAGTATCGATCGACTCAAAGCAGTGTACTTAGAAGGAAACCCTAGCTACGTTGATTTTCCTTCGGTACAAGCAAACGACACAGCCAATACACTCGTAGTACCCTACACGACAACCGACACACAACTTGATACTTCGTCAACATCGATAAATAAACCTAAAACAACGCGTTCTGGAAGACGAGTAAGATTTCCAGAACATCTTAACGAATATTGCACGTAGGACATAAGCTTTATCTTGAATTACCCTTCCATAGTTTCTTAAAAAAAATTTTTTTAATATGATAATTTTTTCTTTATACAAAAAAATTTTTTTGAGCGTATATATATTTTTTATATATAAAAAAACCAAAAAAAGTATTTTTTTTTTCCCGATCGCTTTTACGCTGTCTGTAAGTGTATTAGTTTTTTTTCCGCTCATCTTGTGTCCTCACGCAAGTACGAGTGTATTTTCGACATGCACTTACACGTTTTATTTTTCCTCTTTTCCAGGACGGCTGGAAAAGAACGACGAAGTTTCGCAAGGAACCGAAAGTTTCATTGTACTATATTTCTTTATTGCTATGTTGTACATTTTGGTCCCATAGTTTAAGGAAAGACGACCAGATGCTGCTAAACGAAGCAAGCTATCAGAAGAGTGTTTACCAACGACAAACTAGTTGGGTTTAAACTTCTGACTGGTCACGTCTTAGGGACATCACTACCTCACTAGGGGAGGGAGTGATCTGTAGCTGTAAATAATTCCCCAAAATCAATAGCTCATTAAGTGTTCGACATTGGATGCTGATCACGTTGTTTAAGTGGACTTGTTTAGCTGAAGGCTTTCGGTCATGCATCCGTACCAGATCACGTTTCAACACGGCGTGGGACACAGCTCCTACGTATCATTAGCCAGCTTATAGAAAAGGTCCTCGATATATTGGTAACGAATCAAATATATCTTTCCTGCCTCTTCTCGTCTGACTTCTGATTGCTATCTGACTGGGAACGATCGAATATAGAAGGTGCTACTGGTAGCTAGTTGTAAAACTAGAATATCCGTTGCATCATCACTACGCAAACGAGATATAGTACTTTCGGAAGAGAATTACTAGCAATTTACTTGGTAATAAAACATTTTCGACATATGGTAGAAGGCATAAATTTTACTGTTTACACGGACCATAAACCACTCACGCACGCACTAAGCGCAAAGCAAGATAATTACTCTCCGAGGGAGATCAGACAGTTAGAGTTTATTTCCCATTTCACTTCTGATATACGATATATTAAAGGCCAAGAAAACGAAGTAGCTGACGCACAATCAAGAACGGCGATAAACGCTCTCGTCCAATCCGAAGTCGATTATCACGAATTAGCAGAATTATAAAATATAGATGTCGAGTTAAACAGACTGAAGTCTGACAATACAACCTCTCTGGTACTAAAAGAAACTTCAACCGAAAACGTGAGTATTATGTGCGATATTTCTACGGGCCGACCAAGACCATTTATTCCGAAGCCTCTAAGACGAAAGGTTTTCGATACTATGCATAACATATCACATCCTGGGATAAAGGCCACAATCAAATTAATCAGCGAACGTTTTGTATGGCCAAGCATGAACCGGGATGTTCGTAATTAGACGCAAACTTGCATAAAATGCCAAAAAGTTAAAGTACATCGTCACACCAGTTCCGCAATAGGTCATTTTCGTCATCCGGATAGCAGATTTGAGCATATACGTATTGCCATTGTAGGACCTCTGCCGATTTCAAACGGCTTTAGTTTTATTTTTACCTGCATTGATAGATTTACGCGATGGCCCGTAGCAGTACCTATAAAAGACATTTCGGCCGGAGCTATAGCCAAAACCTTAGTAGAGCATTGGATCTCTCATTATGGTGTGTCTGTACATATTACAACCGATCGAGGAGCCCAATTCGAGAGCCACCTCTTTCAACAACTCACTGAAATTCTAGGAATCAAGCGTATTCGGACAACATCTTACCATCCGAAGGCGAATGGTATGGTAGAAAGATTACATCGGCAACTCAAGGCCTCTCTTACATCTGTTATTAGCAATAATGATTGGGCCAGCAAGCTCCCATTAGTCATGTTAGGTTTAAGATCAACAATTAAACAAGATATAGGATGTTGTCCTGCAGAGTTGGTTTATGGAACCACTTTACGTCTTCCAGGAGAGTTTTTCACCTCAAGTAAAAGTGTTCCAACTGATTTAGCCAACTAAGTACAACGTCTAAAGCAGCATATGGGTAATCTACGAGTAACACTTCCGAGGTAATATCAACAACGTGTGTACATACCAAAACAACTGAGCGACAGTACCCATGTGTTTATCAGAAGGGATAATGTGCAGCGTCCCTTACAACCAGCTTACGATGGTCCATTTAAAGTTATTAGAAGAAATGACAAAACTATTACAGTAGATAAAGCCGGAAAAACGGATGTAATTAGCATAGACCGAGTCAAACGAGCTTTTATTGAAGCTGACGATCAGCCAGTATATACAGATCATTCGAAAATCGTCGAGTCACCGAAACGCGAGTCTCAATCATCAAAGACATTGATGAACAAAAACGAAGAGAAACCAGTAACGACAAGATATGGTCGAAGAGTAAGATGGCCTCAACGATACATAGCTACAATTTTGAACTAATAATTTCTTCCGCATCTTCAGATGTAGATTTCTTTCCTCTTCGTTTTGTATGTGTACATCGAAAACTTTAATTTATCTATTATTATAGTCAACAAAGTTTGCACATTCCAATGTAAATGTATATAAACCTCTAAAATCACTCACACATTAATTTGATCTGTTATTTTATCTGGCCTCACGCATATATACGAACTCAAACTTACACGTACTTGTAGTAATTCACACGATAGTTCTATCATACATCTTAATTTCATAAATTTTGATATTTACTGTCCTGTTAAGTTTAACATTTTTTTATTCGCAAACACAGACACTATTTTGTATCCATGTTTGCTGGGGGGGGGAGCTATTATAGCAACTCAGATACAATTGAGTTTGTTTACATCCAGTTCAGCTAAGCCCTTTTGTTAACTCATTTAATGGACAGTCATTCATACAATAACAACCCATCTATACCATTGTACTTTTATTATATACGCTTGAACATTGATTACTACCTACGCATATATTCATTCCTCTAGCATTATTATTAATCGCTTATTTGATCTGATGATTCATGCTTTTCCACTTATATATATATATATATATATATATATATATATATATATATATATATATATATATATATATATATATGTACATCTTAATCCTGTTTACTGCACTTGCCCTGCTTGCTCTCTGCTCTGCACTACGCTACACCGTACTGTACATGCTTACTCATTCATTCGGCTCTACGGCACTGCTCTTTCATGCTTGGTTGACGTACCTGTAATATTGGATAACTGTGTGTGGTTCAGTAATAAACGCGATCAACCCTTCGTATTCGTTTTCTGATTTATACATCGTTAGGACGTTGTCGAGTAACGGTTATCAAGACGAACAAAATACGAAGCCTAGGGATAATATCGAAAATCGACCACCACAATTAACTGGATTAATTAGATCTCCACCAAGGAACACATTTCGTCGGGAAGCAGACATCAAAAGAATGAATAGAAATTGGAAACAACTGGAAAGGATAGCCCAGGAAAGAGTTGGTAGGAGAATCCTCCCTCATGATGAGTAATAGGCGTAAGGAAGTAGGTAAGTAGGCTTATTTCCAACCTACTGTTACACCAGCCACCGTTACAGGCTGATATAGGCTCTGATTTTGTGTACATATTACGTGACCCAGATACTTAATCCAATGAACCTTCATTACCCCTTCAACCTATTTCTCATCCTCATCTAGTGTTCTCAGTGGCTGCAACAAGAAGCATGAGCGATATGTCGAAGGTATCTATGCTCAAATATCAGTAACCTGGTATTCTCTATATTTAAAAGCAATCAACAATTCAGAATAGAATATAAATTAATGGAAACAAATATATGAAATGTATTAAAATGTATCTTACTGCATTTCTAACTGGTTGACGATGTGATCTTGTAATATTATTACTGGTATTTCCTGGATCAATCGGGTGACATAATGAAAATAAATGAGCTCTTAATTCACTAATTGTATTTAACATTGTAAAACATTCTAATGGAAGAATAAGATCCACAGTTTTGGCACATTTTCTAACCAATGATTCTAGTTCTATTAGAGTACTGTAAATAAAAATTAAATCATTTAAAAGTGAATAGTATTTCAAAGATGAAAAAAATACATTGATTTCACTGCAAAATTAACCCATTAATTTACAACATAAATGCTACGATAGACGGAGATATGGGATCTTCGATTAATTAATGAAACTCTCAAAGAATATTTGATTATTCATGTATCTTTTATATATAGTTGAAATTATGAGTCAATTGAAGCTAGACCAACATGGAAAACCTGGAAGCACTGGACGGTTAAGTGCTCGCGCACGAGATTGGTAGGTCCTGGGTTCGAAGCTTGCGAGGCGGGATCGTGGATGCGCAATGCTGAGGAGTCCCACAATAGGACGAAACGGTCGTCCAGTGCATCCACGTGGTTTAGCTTCAATTGACTCATGATTTCAACTATATATAAAAATTACTAGAAAATCTCCACAAACAACCCCCTTTTCATGTATATGTTAACTTATAGTCATTTCATGGACTTTAGTTTTGATTAAATGTTTTGTATAGCCTCAATTTCCTGAATGCATATTTGTATATATTCGCTGTTTTCTATTAACTGTTAAATGAAAGTTAGAGGATCAATTAAGCGGAACAAATTGTCAATAATCTAACTATCAGTATGAGATTGTGAAGATTGTTAAGTTTTTGATTTAGATTATGAATCCATCGATATTGGACCACCATTGAAAAACTGGGAGCACTTGACGGCCTCTTCGTACCAGTATGGGACTCCTCATCAGTGTGTATCCACCATCCTCTGTTTGGGATTCGAAATGAAATGGCCGTCCAATGCTTCCAGGCTTTCAATGGTGGTCTAACATCGATCGACTCATGATCTCAACAGTAAATAATCTAACTATTTAACTCTTTTCAGTCGCTATAAGTTTCTCCATGGACACCAAACATAATTTCGGAAATATTTTAACTCTAGTTCTGACGAACTGTTGGACTCAACTTATTATTCTGTAAATACACATAAATAAGTGATGGTTGGAACATGTTTTGAAGTCAGATGATTTGAGTAAGATGGATGGAAATTACCATGTAATGTAAAATTAAATTCAATGGTTCAATGTCTGATTTGTGGAATAAGGAATCTGATAATGGGACTAGATCGAACCCCAAAATAGTCATCATGTTGGAGTCTAAAATGTTCTAAAGATAACATAAAAAATATGTCAGTTTCCTTGGTATTAAAATATTTTAAAATTTATCAGGCAGCTCCACTTCTTATCCCTTCGTCAATCTACCGAAACGGATGTATAAAATATAATCATCCAAAATACTCTTATTCGACCTTCTATATACTATTGCTCTAAACTGGTTAAGTGGACAGAACATGTACGAAGTAATTAGGATCTATATTTCATCAACATCATTCGCTGCTCACTCATATTGAATTAAAACAGAGAGCACCCAAAAGATCAATCTGTGACGAATGCGATCGACCAGTTAAAGTGATCTTCATAAAACTGCTTGAACAACACATACAATAGGTAAAATCAAATACAAACAAATTTAACTAACCGTTTTACAACTTCTCGAAGCATTTGTGCACATAATATGCACACCCTTTCATCTAATGCTTCAGCTAAAACCGGTTGAGGCCAATTTAATTCATGAATAAATTTCTTTAATTTGTATAATCTCCATAAGAGTTCAAGAACGGTTTGGCATGTTTGACTTCCCACTATATTGAAATTACCCGATGAATATCGATACAATACCGAGCCGGTTGATGTTGTTGTTTGTAGTGTAGCTAATTTCTTTTTATTCTGGACATTTTCAGTTGAAGAACTAGACGGATTCCATTCAATATCTGTATGGTGAAAAGCTGGTATATTAACTGATGAGGTTTCATTGGGTTTTCCAAAATCTTCCATTTTATTAAACGATGCTAAAGAATGGCGAACACTTAATAAAGACTCAGCGTTATGTTGTGAAATATTATTGATACTAAGTTCATTTGTACCTATTTGGAAAAAAAGAGCAAGGCTTTTACTTAGTATGAACAGCTGTTTCTTCCTTGTTTTAGAATTCTTAGTAGTGAATACTTATTGATACCCTAGGGCCTGAACAAAGCTATGTAAGTGTCCCATCAAGAAAGATTACTTTTGTCAACTAGTACCTAGAAGTTCACATATTTAACTTTAATTAAATGCTGGAAGTCCTGGGTTTAACCTTTAATGGGACGTTTACCATGCTGTCCTCAAGAGTTGTTAGGAAGTTTTTAAGCAACTGTCACGCGCTTCATAAATTTAAATAATTTAACAGTGACATATTAGTTCTGATAACAAAAAACAATCAAACGCATTAAAATGAACTACTAATAACAGTACATAGTTTACCTTCATTTCTGTCTAATTTCGAGGCTGGAATCCATCGTTCATTCTTACATCCCTCTATTAATGCTTGTTCAATGGAATCTGCCATCAGTCCAATATATCGATCTACCAGTGGTGTGAAACGATTAGCTAATTCTTGATGAAATCGACCATTAGATAAATTAGCTGTTAGAAAAGAAGAAAAATTTACGAAGTTTTATCACAAAAACAAATTTAAAAGAACTGAATATATTTCTGGTAAATCTTGCTGATTGAACGCTATACTAGGATCCCCAGCTAGTCTCGTAACCCCCAAGCTAGAACTACACAGCGACTTGAACAGGAGAGAAAGACGCAAAATATTTGAGAAGCACTTTACTCCAAAGATTCATTTATGTACAGGAAATATAGAGTTTTTATAGTATTTTAGAAGTTCTTGAGTTTTCCTGAAAATTCTAGAATACTACTCAACTTAGTAGCAGTGTAGTAATCAGCCAATCAGAACCTCTGCATGTGACTTCATTTTCGCGATATTTCTAGCAAAACTTCTAATCAAACGCTGATTGAATAAAATGTTTCTTAATGTCATGTCTATTGCGAGAAGTCTTCAGGATCGCCACAACAATTTCTTTTGAACTTTAATTTGAACTTATTCAAAATGTACACCTACAAACCTATTGTAGTGTGTGCTACTGGTGTCGATAGATATAAGTAGTATACATCACCATACGTGGCATCAGAGCTTGAAGTCACTAACTTCTAGTCTAAGCCATGTTGGTAGGTGCAGACTACTTGGTTGGGGTCCGCGTGACCATCGTAACCAATGGTTGGAGACTGTAGGTGACATGGCTCAGAATCGATCACAATGACGTAGGTGCATACACTCTTCATTTTCCCTTGAACCTTGAGATTAAAATTGCTTCATATCTGTCTTCCTCCCTATACTATATCTTAATATACAACTTTTCTCTTATATATTACTGTCATTGAAGTAATGACTTCTATGAATTCGGTGTTGATCTTGTTGTGCTAATGAGGTTTTGTGGCAACTTGGACGGACGAATATATGTGCCTGGTCCTACGTTGTAGCTGACTGACTGACTATACATCACCCATGAAAAGTGAAATACCTGGCAACAGAAGGTTATGAAGATCAAAGAAAAGAGTACGAGAACAGTGAATATTTGCTGTGGAAATAAAGGAACAGTGAAGTCTGAAACGGTTGACTGACATTTGCAAATTATGTATTTACTGTATGGTACTCAGATTTCACTAAGATATTCTGTAATTTTGTATTCAGATACATTTGATTATCCCAGACTGTATTCTCATTCACTGCACTATATGTGATCAAATATAGTACTATTAGAATACAATACAATGTTGAAATCCATCATGATCAACATTTCTCAATATCAATCAGTTTCTAATAGAGTCTGATTTTTATTGAACTTCTAAAAGGTAGCTAATATATATAATATGGAATAGATTTCATTATCAGTTATTAATTCAATTAACTTACAATTATTTAAAAGATAATTATTTAATAATTGAAACAAATCAAATACTTCCCAACAATTCTCCGGTAATCTATCCATTAATTCAAATAGATCCATTTGAAATAAATACCAAAAATTCTCAGTATGTTCAATAAATAAATCATTGAACCAGGAGAATGACTACAAAAGAATGTCAGTCAAAAATGGAAATGATTTTTAAATAATAATAATAATAATAATAATAATAATAATAATAATAATAATAATAATCGGAAGGGGTTTTGTGGAGATTTCAGTATTTTCATAGTTGAAATCATGAGTCAATTGAAGCTAGACCACCAGGGAAAACCTGGAAGCACTGGACGGCCGTTTCGTCAGTTTACAGGCATGATCAATTTGATATAAATAGTAACATTAGATGTAGAGAACAAACATGTGATATAAGATTGTTCTAAGTTTGCTAGTTCAGTAATTGTTAAGTAGTTTATCTATGACATGTATCACGGTAATCCAATGCATTAGCAGGGAACTTTTAGTTTTTTATTAAGTCGATAGCCTGATGATTTATGAAAGGGAGTTCTTTAAGATTATTTCCAGTGCTAGGACAAATTATTGATAACTAACTACAACTAGGGAAAGTAAAATTAAAACAGAGAGCACGGAACAATAAAGCAATGATTGCCAAAAAATGTTGATCAGGTTTACCATTGTTCATGTTCGATATTATTCAAATAAGTTAACGTTGCTAGGACAGTGTTAATGTAAAGTGACAGCAGGTAAGTGGTTAAACATTTAAAGTTCCTATAATCTCACTTGTGGAGTAAGATACACTTACAGGCGCTAGAGCATATAATGCATTTACAGAGGAGCAGTATGCATCAATGGAGCGAACAAACAATGGGAGAGATTTTATCGTACGGATAGATTGTGGTAGATTATTTCAGAGTCTAGAAAATTTACAGATAAAGTAATTCTTATAGAGATGATTTAGAATGGGTTTATTTCGCTAGTGACAAGCAGTTACGTACATCGTAATGAGAAGTTTCTGCATGTTGAATCGCTTGATTGGATGTAAAGGATAGTTTATTACGTATTTTGAAGAAGAATATAAGGTTTAGTTTGAGTCTCCTCTTCCATAAAGGGTCGAGTCCAAGTTTATTACATCTAGAATTATGAGTCAAGGTACAGTCAGTTCCAAGAATACGAAGTGTAAATCGTCTCTGTACTAATTCCAACCTTAATTTATCCTTTATGCACGCACTACTAAGAATAAACGCTCAGTATTCAAGGAGTGGTCGAACACAAACTTAGTACATTAAAATAAACCACATTAATAATGATCAATTTTAGTGAAAAATGAATAAGCAATAAACGTTTCACTAGCTCAAAAATTATAACAAACATATTAAACTCGATATGAAGTTACCCCAATAAAATGTAGGAAAGACTTCAAGTTTACATTTTAAAAAAGAGAACACTTTTGTACGTCATGTATATGTATCACTGACCTCAGAGTGGTGTTGTTCATTTTGTTTAAGTACTTCAATACAAAGTTCAGCTAAATGATACATTTCATGAATTTTTCTACTTTCTTTGTTTGTATCTAAAATAATAGAGAAAAAGAATCAAACAAGTAATAATATTCAGAAGGAGATTTGTGGAGATTTCAACTTTGAAGTAATAATATGCTTGTTTAAGGTGTTCTTATTATTGTTTCCAAATAATATTTGTTATATCCCGTGGAGATTCATAAATGGTAACCATGAGAACTATTTATGGACCAATGTGATATGTATATGTATATATTGTATAATTGTTAAGTAACTCAACTATTCATATTCATGTTCCTTCTATTATGAGTTTTATTTTGACCCATAGACTATTACTGTACGATTTACGATTCTTCAGTTATCCCTATTCTATTAATTACTGTTCTCCCCATTCACAACCACGTTTGGCTTAATCTTGTGCAAATGTTATTTCCTAATTTATGGCAGGATGTGGTCAGTTTGTTTGATATATAAACCCAGTATGTTTGAGAATAATGATTCATATTGCAGAGGCTATTATTGGTGTTGTGGACTTGTGCTTGGCAGCTAGCAGAACCGAGTAATACTTAGGACTGCTCATACGGCTTTTGTATATCATTGCTCTGATCGATAAATCACTCCTCTTTCATTTGCGGGAATCAGCACGTTCATATATATATAAACAGGACACGCAAGCACTCACGGCATATAATACTGTAACAGTTTAGGTTCTGAGTAAAACGTATTTGATTATAAATTCAAGGACGTTTCCCAGAACAATTTATAGACTAGAATTACCAATATCAAACTGACTTATATATTAAGAAACTATACTACTGAATAACATCAATTTATTCAAGTTAGCTGGTTGAATTTGAAATGTTTGAATACACATCTAATTCAAACAAATTTAATGAATTTTATGACTGATCGTCTGAGAATCAAATGAATCAAGAGAATCCATGGGCTTCGACTATGATAGGTTGCAGTTTAATTGAATAATAACGGTTATAAACAGATGGCCCTATGAAGACGATGTTTCATTGACTTCCGACTTCAATTCATCCTAATCCATCCGGTAAATAATTTTATGGAATCGTTTATTGTGAGAGTTGAACAATCATTGAAAAAGTATCAGCCACTTTTCCAACTTCAGATTATTTAAAAATGAATGGAATTTTAGTTTTACTAGTCAACCAAAAACTCCGCCTGTAGCTCCTCCAGGGTCTACTGCCGGTCCCAAGCCCGGGTAAAGGAGGAGGGTTGGGCATGGGGTTAGCGACCCCATCCCGTAGAAAATCAACTCGCTAAAAAAACGCTAACCAGAAAAAATCATTCAAACCATTCAAACTCTGCCCTGGGAGTAGAAGGAAAAATGACGTCTCATGATGAAAGCCGAGTTCATTCGGAAGTCATGAGGCCGATGCACCTTCTTACAATCAGAGTGACAATTTTTATAGGTACATGGAATGTCCGGACAATGTAGGAAACCGGCAGAGTCTTCCAAATTGCTGCGGAAATGAGGAAATACAACCTGGAAGTGCTTGGAATCAGTGAAACGCATTGGACGCAGGTTGGACATCAACGACTGTCTTCAGGAGAACTTCTGTTATACTCCGGTCATGAAGAAGAAAACGCCCCACATACACAAGGAGTTGCATTGATGCTGTCCAGAAAAGCACAAAATGCACTTATTGGATGGGAATCTCATGTACCGACGATCATCAAAGCCTCCTTCAGAACAAAGAGAGAGGGCATTACAATGAACATCATCCAATGCTATGCGCCTACCAATGACTACGATGAAGACGCTAAAAACCAATTCTACGATAGGCTGCAGTCAATCTTCGAGAAGTGCCCAACCAATGACCTGACCATTCTAATGGGAGATTTCAATGCCAAGGTTGGAAAGGACAACACTGGATACGAAGACGTCATGGGACAATATGGACTGGGAGGAAGGAACGAAAACGGTGAGAGATTTGCAAACCTATGTGCCTTCAATAAACTGGTCATAGGTGGCACCATATTCCCACACAAAAACATACACAAAGCCACTTGGATTTCACCGGATCACACTACACAAAATCAAATCGACCATGTCTGCATCAACAAAAAGTTCAGGAGGACGATGGAGGATGTGAGAACCAGAAGAGGAGCTGATATAGCATCCGATCACCATTTGCTGGTCGCCAAGATGAAACTAAAACTCAAGAAGCACTGGACAATGGCGCGGACAACATCACAAAAGTTTAACACGGCATTTCTTCGAGATGCTGACAAACTCAACGAATTTAACATAGCCCTCAGCAACAGGTTCGAGGCCTTTCATGACCTACTCAATGGAGAGGGAACCACCATAGAGAGCAGCTGGAAAGGTATCAAGGAGGCAATCGTTTCAACATGTCAGGAGGTTCTGGGCCACAAGAAGCACCATCACAAGGAATGGATCACTGTTGGTACACTGGATAAAATTGAAGCAAGGAGGAACAAGAAGGTAGCAATCAATATCAGCCGAACCAGAGCGGAAAAAGCCAAGGCACAAGCCGAATACACAGAGGCAAACAAGCAAGTGAAGAGGAGCATCAGGACCGACAAACGTAAATATGTGGAAGATTTAGCGATGACAGCGGAAAAGGCTGCAAGAGAGGGAAACATGAGACAACTGTATGATACAACAAAGAAACTTGCTGGAAATTACCGTAAGCCAGAAAGACCAGTGAAAAACAAGGAAGGCAAAGTAATCAACGATATTGAAGAACAACGAAACAGGTGGGTAGAACACTTCAAAGAACTCTTGAATCGACCAGCTCCACTGAACCCACCCAACATCGAAGCAGCACCCACAGACCTCCCAATCGATATTGGCCCACCAACAATTGAAGAGATCAGCATGGCCATTAGACAAATCAAGAGTGGCAAAGCAGAGGGACCAGACAACATCCCGGCAGAGGCACTGAAAGCAAATGTAACAGCAACTGCCAAGATACTCCACATCCTCTTCGGTAAGACTTGGGACGAAGAACATGTACCAACAGACTGGAAAGAAGGACTTCTCATCAAGATACCAAAGAAAGGTGATCTTAGCAAGTGCGACAACTACAGGGGCATCACTCTCCTCTCAATACCAGGAAAAGTCTTCAACAGAGTATTGTTAAACAGGATTAAGGATTCCGTGGACGCTCAACTTCGAGATCAACAAGCTGGATTTCGTAAGGATAGATCGTGCACAGATCAAATCGCAACTCTACGTATCATTGTGGAACAATCAATCGAATGGAATTCATCACTCTACATCAACTTCATCGACTACGAGAAGGCATTTGATAGCGTGGACAGGACGACACTATGGAAGCTTCTTCGACACTACGGCGTGCCTGAGAAGATAGTCAATATCATACGGAACTCCTATGATGGACTAAACTGCCAAATCGTCCACGGAGGACAACTCACCGACTCATTCGAAGTAAAGACCGGTGTTAGGCAAGGTTGCTTACTCTCACCCTTTCTCTTTCTCCTGGTCATCGACTGGATTATGAAGACGTCAACATCTGGAGGAAATCACGGGATACATTTTACAGGCAAGATGCGGCTTGACGATTTAGACTTCGCAGATAATCTGGCTCTTCTATCACAAACGCAACAACAAATGCAGGAGAAAACGACCAGTGTAGCAACAGCCTCAGCAGCGGTAGGTCTCAATATAAACAAAGGGAAAAGCAAGACTCTCCGATACAATACAATATGCACCAATCCAATTACACTTGACGGAGAAGCTTTGGAGGATGTGGAAATCTTTACATATCTGGGCAGCATCATTGATGAACACGGTGGATCAGATGCAGATGTGAGGGCGCGGATCGGCAAAGCAAGAGCAGCATACCTACAGCTGAAAAACATCTGGAGCTCAAAACAATTGTCAACCAACACCAAGGTTAGAATTTTCAATACAAATGTCAAGACAGTTCTTCTGTATGGGGCAGAGACGTGGAGAACTACGAAAGCCATTATCCAGAAGATACAAGTGTTTATTAACAGCTGTCTACGCAAGATACTTCGGATCCGATGGCCAGACACTATCAGCAACAAGTTACTGTGGGAGACAACAAACCAGATTCCAGCGGAGGAAGAAATCAGGAAGAAGCGCTGGAAGTGGATTGGGCACACCTTGAGGAAATCACTACATTGTGTCACAAGACAAGCCCTCACAAGGAATCCTGAAGGTCGAAGGAGAAGAGGAAGACCAAAGAACACATTACGCCGAGAAATAGAGACAGACATGAGAAGAATGAACAAGAACTGGAAAGAACCAGAAAAGAAGGCCCAGGACAGAGTGGGTTGGAGAAAGCTGGTCGGCGGCCTATGCTCCATTGGGAGTAACAGGCGAAAGTAAGTAAGTAAGTAAGTCAACCAAAAACCACAAATTGCAAGTTGGTCCATGGACAACTAATACTAATGAGTAGTGTGTTTACTTTCACTCAAAAAATAATTTGAAAAAATGATTGCTTACTTTTAACTCGTGGGCCAGAAACGACTGTAATAAATAACAATTATAAAAAACAATACTATTCAGTTGTTGGACTAGATAACAAAATCAAATTGGTAACTAAGTTTCCACATTACGATAAGAGCTTTAAAAATGACTACGCAATGGCAAATTGATAAAAAAGAATTAGTTAGTCAGTAGTAATAATCAGACTTGGTTTAACTTTTAAAAATCATTCATACTTTAGAGTACAAATGTACTTGAAAATAAGCTTTAATTATTAGTGTTATGATGATCAGTCGATTTTTCAATACATGAACATCTTTGTTCTTGAAAACATCGTCATCATATAGATGTTAACATACTACCAACCACGTATCCTTGTATTTTCTAACGTTAACGAGCTAATTTTGGGCCATTTGTTTAATACACTTTCAAGCTTGTTTAGATACAAGCTTTAAAATATTTTATCATATTGTAGTAGTATCGCTTTGCATTCTTGTTTCATTTCAATCATATAATATTAGGGAATGCCACTAATAATCCCTGAAAACTCTTTAAATAAATCGAAAAATGATTTAAAAGCATTTATTTGATATGTACTTCTAAACACTTTTTGGAACAACACGTTCCTAATTAACATAATTATTCATACATACTATGGGACTTTGCCAACAGAATGCTTTAAACGATTGACAAACATTTACATTGCATTATTTAGTCTTCAAGTTGATGAAAATAGCCATGAATAATTCATGATTCAGTTGATAATACAAATACAGATGTTGTAAAAAGGTCATTTTTAAACGTTTTACTATTCTTTTGTGGGATGAATTAAGTTACAATATATACAGTTTATAATTAATTAAGCTAATTGTCATTAAAATGAATGCGTTTGGAACAGTTTTGTAATTATTGTTGGAGACGGGTATAGGAAAACAATGTTTACATTCAGATTTCATCATTTATTATTTTTAGGTACTCAATAAAATTGCGTCACTATCATCGGTGGACATTCAGATGTTATAGCATATTTTACGTACTGCTTTTGTGACTAGCTGTTTCTAACTGGTCCGACTAAAAAAAAAGAATCGACATCATCTTCAGATATAAGAGCCTTGTGTATAATTTAGTTCGTATATTTCCATGGACAACGTAGTTCTTCATCAAGTGTATAGAAAAGCAAATAACACGGTTAAAATAGGAATATATCGATGTTGTTCTTTCCAAATGCTTAATAGACACAGCGAAATATAGTTTAAAATTTGAGAGTGATCATGAAAGTATTAACCATTAATAGATTGTAGAGCAAAACTGATAAGTGTATTAGAGTAGTGTGCCAAGACTGAAAATTGTTAACTCAGAGTTAAATTAATCTTTCTAGTAGGTTTGTTTAACGTAGCAGTATAACCGCTTAACTAATTCATACTGTAGTGGACGCTACTCACAGGATTGTTTTTAAGTAGTGTACAGCGTAAAGTGGCTTCAAAGTCACAACAATTGTCGGACGGAGTGAGAAGTTTCAGTATATCGAAAGTACGAATAAGCAGAACACATAGAGACCAGACGAGAAGGTTTTAGATGCAAATGAACAATTGAAGATTATGTATACGTACAATGTAAACACTTAGTAATGATGACAAAAGATAACTAGCGCGAAATTAAACTAAATGTATATCGATAGCCTATATCCATTCATCAACTTATAAAATTCATTTCAGTCATTATGACAAATTTATAATAATATTTGTTAATATTATACCAATTTTACAATTTAATCAAGCCATTTTTCTGAACTACATAACTTATATTTTAGTAGTTTGGAATAGACTGAAAAAATCACAAGAGCAATTGGGATAATTGAAAGGTAATGAAGTGCTCTGGCGCGAGACCGGTAGGTCCTGGGTTCGAATCTCGAAAGGCGAGGTGGTTGGTTGCGCACTGCTGAGGAGTCCCACAATGAAGTAATTCTCAAACATACTTTAAATTTTCAGTTCAACGCAGATAAGTAGATAATGCTACGATGAGATAACTGTGATTTCGGTTGACAGCCGACTTTATTGTGAGGATTATTGAAAACAATGACTTAGTAAAAATTGCAAATAAATCTAAACCCTTACACATTTATTCCTGGATCTGGTTTCTATATCAAATTATCAGGATGACAAACAAATTAAAACGAAGAATAGGGAAGGGATTGAAATAATGCAGTAGAAATGATAGTGAAAAAGACTAACCACTGAGGATAGGGTTCTAAGGCTCACAATCTAGAGTACAATATAGAAGATATACGTCTGCTCAATTATTACCGATTCTGAGTCGTGTTACTCATTGTATCCAACAAATGATCACAATAATTCTGAGAACCTGAAACAGATAGTCTTCACCTTCTGACATAACTCAGTATAACAATCAGTAATCTCATTGACTGATACCAAGATTGACTTGGTTGCCACTAGCTTTCTAGTAGCCTACTCTTCAGCCAAGAAATATGGGCCATTGATGTAATAAGTGGTCATTTATGCATAAAACATATCTCAACTTCCTTGTTCGATGAAGATTTGCAACTTTATTAAATTATGTCCCATTTTCTCATGGCACCCTGACTGTTTTTAACCTCAGCATTATTTGCTCGTTAGTCACAATATACAGGAGCAATTTGTTGAGATAATAGTAATGAAAACCTACAGTCTGCTTGTGTATTTGTTTCTAAGGATCATGTTTCACAGCCACTGATTGATACAGAGTGTATATCTAAGTAGTATACTCATTCTTTAGTTAGTAGACGCACATACTACCTACGCCACAAGTGATACAAGTTGACAAAATCCAACCTAGCTTTCTGAATCCGTGTTCGGGTATATTTAAGCATCAACTCACCAGGGTTAATAGAACTTTAAAGATAAGTGAAATGGTTAATGTTTTCTAATGCTTTTGTTTCGATTATTAGTCCAGGTGTTGACACTGACCAATCCTGGTGCGAGAGACAAATACAGCCCGAAAGCACTTGCATTGTTACTCAAGGAGATCAGAAGACAGGATTTTATCTGAATCTTCACCAAAAAGAATCACACCATATAGGTATTTTAAGTTAATCTGTAAGTCTTCTGTTAGGAGATCAAATCCTGAAGTTTCAGACAATGAGAGCACTATTTCTGAAAGAATGACAGTTACCTGGAAATATTGATTAAATATCAAGCTTGAACAAAGAAGTTCTGAATTTATGATTTAATTATTAGACTTCCTACCCGAAAGATGGGACGATGAGACAGTTAAGAGGCCAGTTTATAGAAAATTCTCATGAAACAAATAGATGAATTTTCATGTTTTTCTCTTAACTGAGTAAAATAAATCTGGCTCACTCTTTTACTTATGCATTTATAAAGGTGTACAAAATGGACCGCATAGAAGAAGTTCTGATGTCCCTTAAAAAACAACTTTACTAATTAGTTGTGCTTATATAATTATAGATCAAATCATAGATATAGTATAGCATATTATCATGATTAAAAAATATCAGAAGGGGGTTTTGTGAAGATTTTAGCAATTTTATGTAGTTGAAATCATGAGTCAATTGAAGCTAGACCACCATCTGGCGAGACGAGATCGTGGATGCGCACTGCTGAGGAGTCCCATAATAGGACGAAACGGCCGTCCAGTGCTTCCAGGTTTTCCATGGTGGTCTAGCTTCCTGACTCATGATTTCAGTTATATAATTAGACATATAATCTTAAATTACCTTCAATCATAACATATTCAGAAATTCGTTCATAGTTTAATACAGCTGCATTTCTCAAACAATTACGAATAACATTACGAACAAGTTCAGCTGAAGCTGGTTCACCGGTTTCTTTTGTTAAAACCTGTATTATTAAACAAATGAATAATTTAAAATAATTAATAAATGTTAATTTAAAGATGAGCTTGATATTTAGTTTTTAAAAAAACAACTCTTTTTAGCATGAAAGAAAAATGAATTTCCAATGGGAGGAGTTTGTAGTGTTGAATCTTACAGTTTAAATCACAGTTAGACATCCACCCAGAGGTAATTACGGGAGTTATAGAGAGAAGTCATGACCAACGGACTTCATCCATGTTGGGTACGAGACGGGTACCGAATAATTGTATTAAAAGATGGTTGCATAATACTACGAATTCACTGTAGTTAAAAAAGTAAACCAATGGGGGCTTTAGCGGTCATTTTTCAATTCGTTTGATATAGACGAGTAATAATAGAAAATAATTCCTAGATTAACTTCGTATGTACTCACCGACTTGATCACCTTGGTGAACATTGTGTTAAAATAAGTTAACTATGAGAATGATTTTTAATAAATATATTTCATACATCCATCAATGAGGATAGACGATAAGAGATGATAACCAGAGAAGTCAAACCGACTTACTCAGTGTTAGTAAACGTGACTTAACATTTATAAGCATGGAAAAAAATACAAGCAAACGTAAAGACATATAAGCAATATCATCTACACATGTGTCAGGAACGGTCAAGCTTACATGTGAGTAAACGACTAGGACAAATATGGGTGAAAGAATAGATGGAATAATTTATCCGTCCAAAAGTTAGGATAAACCACGTAGGCGTGTAATTATACGAAATCCTTGATTTTAAGGCTTATCACTCGCTGAGAGGTCTGAAGGTCCTCGTTTCAACAACAAGTGTGAAGTGTATGTTCACTTTTGAAGAGACCTATACTTAAATAAAACAACTGTCCGTTGTCTGCTAGCTTCCAGTGGTTGGTTAACTAAGATCAGTCCATAATGTAAACTGTAAAATATTTTCGGTGTGAATGACTACTATAAACAGACACTTTTATTATAAGGGAATTAAGACGATGATAGAGTTGTAAGCTTCAATCTTCAGAACATTGGACTGACAATTAACGAGCTACAAGACAAGATCTAAGTTTTCGAACTCGTAAAAAATACAAGAAACCAATTCAGTAATCTATATGTTACTTGGTTTAAATATGATTACATTGTTATCGTGTTTCATTTACGTTTAGTATGGTCACTTCGGTCAGAATATTTAATAGTAATCTAATAATTCTTACGAGACTTGATAGTACTGATTCATCTCAGACTTAACTAGCGTATTCTAGTTTATTAAAGAAAGCTAAATACAATTAAAAATTGTTCGAAATTATTTATGAGTAGCAAATGGAATTTATAGTTCACTTTCGACTGACATGTCTATTTCAGTCGGTATAATTTGTTGAATATCTGAGTTGTTGAATACTGTTTGTAAACTAGAGTAATTGAATAGTTCTTTCACCTGACTTTTATTGATTCCTCTTAGTAAACAGGTAAAATATTGTCGTATATTGTATTTTCAATAGGGACTCCAAAAACTACTTCATTTTTGTTATAATACTCACAGTCTCGCACTGGATAGAAGCCAGAACCTTTGGACCGACAAAATTATTTGATTCGGAATCAACAGTTTACAACTGTACTGTGTCTGATGAAAGTGAGTCATGATTGGTCAGTAAGAGCATAACAGACATCTGCCATCTCATATATATCTTTATTTTTTGTATATATATATATATATATATATATATATATTCTATACTTTATATCGTCATTCCATAAACTTTTCCTGATTATTGTGCGCTTCTTTTTGTTGGTAGGATTATTGAGTGCGAATGTATCATTCGATTGAGCAACATAGAGTTAGAACAATTTTCGTTTTTAATTGTCTTGTGTTATACCGTTATGTTCGCAACTGTTAAGTGAACTTTAGGAGCCACGATATTTTAATAGTTGAGATCATGAATCAATTGAAGCTAGACCACCATGGAAAACCTGAAAGTACTAGACGGCCGTTTCCTCCTATTGTGCTTCCAGGTTTTCCATGGTGGTCTAGCTTCAATTGATTCGTGATCTCGACTATTAAGATTAATATAATATCCACAAAACACCTGATATTAGTCACGATATTTATTGGAGATTTGAATTTAGTCACGAGTCTCAATACACAGTTATTATCGTTACGAGACTTCAAACTCTTGAGTTTTATCCCATGTTAAATTATGAGATAAGTTTATAAAGCAGTTTTAAGCTAAAATATTTAATATCCTTATGTCTATCTATCTTTCAATAAATCACTCTACTAAATAATTGTTTCGTTTCTTAAAACACTCATGTTTATTCAAACGTTGCTTATCATAACCAAACACCAATTATTCTCATAGTTGAGATCATGAGTCCACCAAGGAAGACCTGGGAGTACTGAACTCATGCTTTCAACTATGAAAATACTGAAATCTCCACAAAACTCCTTCTGATACCAATTATTCTCTTTAAAAAAACTATCTTTAACCTGTAGTATTGTTTGTTTGAATCTCCCCATTGATGTTTAGGACTGCAACTGGTCAGTCTCTAATTGGCATATGTGCATAGTGTGCGTATTGCCATAATATAGCCTTAATTCACAAGCATTGTAAGCAAAAATAGATGGCGGCTAGCAGTGGAATCCAGTTTGAAGCGCGTTTCGTCCTATTTGGGTCTCGTCAGCCGGATGTTCCTGCATCTCAGAGTTGATGTTCACTTCTGGACTCGAACCCAGTACCTTTCGCTTCAAACACAATCGCGTTATCCAGTCGGCCTGAATTCCACTGCTAGCCACTATTCATCTTTGCTTACAATATATTTAACCTGTATTAATATTCATTTAATAAATTCAATAAAATTCTGATAGAAAAAAGGGAAATTATTGAGCGTTAAATAGAGAACAGATTTTAAATGTCAAATATGGTCGTTTCTAGCCCATAAAAAAATTAGTTTTATCATATCGGATACAAAAAATCAGAGTTTTTTCTTCTACCATTGATTTATTTTCATGATTTTTGATCTAATTAAGACATGATTGTTTAATTGTTATAATTTTTTAGTTCCTCCTCTGTGAATAACAAGCTTTCAAAATTGTTCGTTGTTGAACCTTTTTTTGAAATGCATTAGGTTAACATTTTTCTAACTTGTATCATTTATGGCGCAGGCTGGAGGCCAATATTCTGCATAACATTTCCATCCGTTAAATAAAATATCTGATCCTAGTTGTCACGGTAATAATGACTATCATTTTGATTTCGGGATTTCGTTACAAGTTGTTGATTGGATGTGGATACTTGAATTGACGCATATATATATATATATATATATATATATATATATATATATATATGTCAGGTTCTACGTTATGATTAATTGATTAACTCAATGACACATGTCAGATTTCTAATCTTGTTTTTAATTATCTGTATGCAAGTTTACTAAAGATGTTACCATACGGAAATCGTAATCATAATATATATATATATATATATATATATATGTATATATATATATACTTTGTAATTAGATTATATATTATGGGTAATAAGGGAAAGGCAACAGAGTGAATAATTTTGATGAAACATTAATATGCATGTCATGTACTAATTTTTTGTTAGATTACATAGCATGAAGACAATATCATGGAGAATAAATGTTTGCTCAAATAAATTAATATATTTGTAATATCTCAATGAGTAGAAAACTTAGATTTTCTGACGTTTCGTGACACAGTGTAAGCCACTTCTTCAGAGAGTAAATAAATTATTATTATTTATTAAATATTAATAAGATTTCTTGATTAAAATGAAGTTTGCTACATACTTAATTTTGAATGTTTGGATTTAGTAACATGACTAATTTCTGATGAACTCTTTAAAGTTGTGATACTGATGATATGTTTATGGTCAATTAAACTGTTCAGTAGATGATACAACAAATTGTTAAACATTGAGATGATTTAAATATTCATTTTATGAATATTTGAAGAAAAAATCAATTACATTAATTGATGTTTATAGGTTCTTTCAGTTCGTGAAGAAAAATAACCGTTAACATATTCGGTCAATGTAAATATCTCATTTTTACATGAGCTAATTTCACGCCTGAACTCAGTGTTAATGTCATAGAATGTAAAACTGAGTGACGTTATATAAGAACTTTCGTCTAAATTAGAGCGAATAATTTCACAGTATTTGGGCGCCGAGTTGATGTAAGACATTAAATAGAAATAATATATTTGTAAAATCTCAGCGAATGAATTTGAAGTTAATCCAACGTTTTACCTAGCAATCTGGTCCAAGCTTTTTCAAGGAATGCTTGGACCAGATTGCTAGGCGAAACGTTGGATTTACTTCAAATTCATTCGCTGAGATTTTACAAATATATTATTCCTATTTATTGAGTGACGTTGCTTTGAATTTCTTAGAGAGTATCACTTTCTTTGATATTGCAAGTAGTTCACGGTAATAAGTAATAATTAACACAAAACCTAAGTCTAAGGTCTGCTCCGGACAACTTCTAACCCCTTAATGTTAAAAACAGCGTACTCAATGTTTAGTCACTTAAATTAGTAACCACCTTGCATTTTAATTACCTATGAAGAATAGACAAATATGATATCAACCATTACTCAGTGATCAATAAACATAAGTTTATTTAACTAATAAAATAGTTTTAATCATATACATAGTATTGTTTGTTTGGATCTTCCAATTGATGTTTTTTTAGGCTATATCGAGGCAATACGCACAGTATGCACATATGCCAATTAGAGACTGACCAGTTGCAGTACTAAAAAACACCAATGGGAAGATCCAAACAAACAATACCAAGTGAGTTCAAACTTCGCCCCATTGCACAAGTAAGTGGCTATCAGGACTAAGTAGCTGAGTGGATAACGCGATGACGTTTGAACCGAAAGTTACTGGGTTCGAGTCCCAGAGTGAACATCAACTCTGAGATGCAGGAACATCCAGCTGACGAGTCCCAAATAGGACGAAACGTGCTTCAAACTGGATTCCACTGCTAGCCACCAAGTTTTTACAATGTTTTCTGTAAAGATTTATGGATTACTTATCTGATTTCCATCAAAAACTCATTATTACCAAATATCACAATCTATGAAAATATTATTTTGACATATCAGTTCCATAAAAATTAATCAAAATACGTTTAATGCACCTTGATAATTGAATTGCTACTATTTTTTTGAAAAATCTCGTATTTTTATTAAGTTTAAAAATTTACAAATATTTACTTAGTAACAATTAGACTTATTAAGTTGTAACTGGTTAGTAAGTTGCCATTTTACCTAATTCCATATAACTGACTGGATTTAACTAGTGAATGAACATATGTATATGTAAATTATATGGAAAAGATTTTACATAAATCTACAGATTTCTACGTTCCATTTTGCCGGCCACATTGTCTGTTCTGACTATGTGTAGTGATAATGCTTATAGTAATATCCCTTCTACAAAAATTTGGGGGTCCCATACAGAAATTTGACAGGACTATGTTGAAAACGATTATCCATTTCTAACAATAAGCTAAACGCATGGATGAATTGACATTACTAATGTTATATACATTGACGTTAATAGATAAAACTGAAGAACTGAAGAAATAAAATTTCATTACTACTAGTGACATAGTGTAGTGAACAAAACACGGTTGGGGACAATCCAATGTACTTAAGCATAAATTACAGACTATCTCACTAAATTCTGGTAACCATACAGTCAACAGTTAATGTGCAAAATAACAACCAATTATCTCAATCTTAACTGTTCGTTCTGCAAATGTCAGTCCGTCTTCTCTGATTTTGTTGTTCATGCATTTTCGTACCGATCGCGCTTCATTCCTATTCTTCTGCCAAAATACATTATATGTCTGACCATCACCATATACTAATTATATGGATATAAGTAGACCACACCATATTTGTAATCAAAACAATTTATTCAAGTATCCACTGTTTTGAATAACATTATGCAATACTAACATAAATTCATTTTAGATAATAAATAAAATATCAGAAGGGGTTTTTGTGGAGATTTAGTATTTTCATAGGTGAAATCATGAGTCGATTGAAGCTAGACCACCATGGAAGACCTGGAAGCACTGAACGGCCGTTTCGTCCTATTATGGGACGAGATATCAACTCACTGAAGACAATTGGTGAACGGTTGCTCAACTTCGTGGATCATTTGAAGTTAGACACTAACACCGTTGGATGCCGGCTCAGTGGTCTATCGGCTAAGGTCTCTGGCTCGAGACTGGTAAGTCCTGGGTTCGAATCTCACGAATGCGGGATCGTGGACGCGCATTGCTGAGGAGTCCCATAATAGGACGAAACGGCCGTCTAGTGCTTTCAGGTTTTCCATGATGGTCTATTTTCAATTGACTCACGCTTTCAACTATGATGATAAATAAAAAGTTTTTTTCTTATTTGAAATTGTATAAAAGTTATCGTTTATACCGAAGGAAATTAAGTCCATTTCAGTTTATTTTAAAAAACCCAGTGTTTCAGTCAACTTGTTCAACCTTCAACTGTTATTCATCGTTACTATGCTTGAACTATTATTAGGCTGAATACTGTTTTGTATATCAATCATAAAAATGATTAATACTGCTTATACACTGCTTTTGATGCTGTGTCATATTAATACTGTCCAATATATCTATTTGTGTTATTTGTATCAGTTACTTTATTCATTTTTCAGTAATTACATATGACAACTTTGACAGTGTTCGAATTATAGATGTTATTCAGACATTGTGTAGTCAGTCCGTTTTGCATAAGTGTAAAACATCAGTTTAATATCGATAAATAACACACACCATACTGTGTTTCTTAGAGTTCTTATTAACTAAATGTTTACGTCATGATAGAATAATACCAAAACAACCAAATGTATTACTTCTTTTTCGAGTTCATAAAAATTCATTAAATATCAATCAATCAGTCGTCTACAATGTAGGACTAGGCACATGGAATGTGTTAAAGTTGTGTACAAATTACGTACAATAATGAGAACAAGTAATCTTTTCTCTCTGCTGCTGTTCTGACGACAATTGGATTGTATGAAGAAACGTTTCACATAACTTTGTATCTAACTTTGCATACATCAAATGCATCTGAAATGATGATCACAGTTATCCTGGAAATTATCTTCTCTTTGTTCATGAAAACAGTTAAATGTGTACGGTTTCGCTATAATGAGGTATGTCATTGATTCAGACAAACTATTCATGACTTTTTATCCTCAATATGAAAAAAAAATTGTTAAGAAATTTTTCTGTCCGTGAATTTCATCTCTACAACTGATCAGCCTAAACACTTTTAAGATTAAACAATTTCATCAAGCATCAAGTGATATCTATATGAGGTTATAGCCAGTTCTCTTTTAATTCAGTTTAAATAGTCTATTTTCACTCATATCATAGTGTGCTCTATTTTAAAGTATCAGTTCCCTCTGTTCTAACAACAATATTATAGATCCACAAACATAAAGAAATAAGACTATTCCATATCATTTAAACAATGATTAACATTTCGTTCAGATAAATTGAAATAATTCTCTCATCAAAATTATATTGTCTAATGTTTAAACATTCAAAATCCAGTTTATTAGGCAGGTCTATGATCTATGCTGAACGCAACTTTGATGCCGTTTTGAATAGACATTTTTATTAGTAAACTAAAATTACGTCTTACAGTGATGTAGTTTCAAGTCACGAAACTCAATTTTTCCAACATTGATTTTATTTCTAACAATGATGGTCACCAATGTAAATATCTGTTCAGGACTGTACGAAGTAACGTTAACATCTATGGTCAATCTAATGCATGGAGCGACGTCTTAGCTGTAAAAACAGTCTGCTTTCAACTAATAAGTTTCAAATGTGATTTTTTTACCATATAAATCGGCTAGAGCAGTTTGCAAGTTTAACCGGCCATCACAAAAATAAGAGGCCTGGAGGCTGATTAAAAAGACTTAAATCTGATAAACGAGTAGTATTGCATTCACAAATAAATCAAATCGTACCATGAAATGTTGTATATTACTATAGGGGTAATATAATAATTGTTGAACTTCATAGTTCTGATGTCTGACTGATAATAGTTAGTTAATCACTGAAAGGCAGGAAGTATCAGACAGTTGTTTTGTCCTAGAATAAGGCTCCTAAGCAATACCTATCCACTATCCGCTTGTCTATCGAACCCAGGACATACAGGTCTTTCAGATAGTGTCTGATCTCTGGACCATTCAATGGACATCCAGTGGTTTACATGTCTAACTGTATAGTACTTCCTGGTTCTTGACGGTTACCCAACTTCGATCACTTGATGATGTAAACTATGGAGATATTAGTGCTTCATCATATCATTTGCTATAACTGAATAAATTTCGATAATGTAATAAGAAGACTAAGATTATCAGAACTATGTGATATATTAGCGCAATACATTTCTAAGAATCTGATCACACTTATACTTGTTAGGAATATTTATATATTAAAATAAAAGGTCAACTAGACTGGAAATGGGGGGGGGGTAAGAGTAGACAAGGTTAATAATAATAAAAATAATGTGAAAACAATTTGACACCTAATCACTCGGGATAATAAGCTAATATTAGAAGGGGATTTGTGGAGATTTCAGTATATTTCAAAGTTGAAATCATGAGTCAATTGAAGCTAGACCACCATCGAAAACCTGGAAGCACTGGACGGCCGTTTCGTCCTATTATGGGACTCCTCAGCAGTGCGCACTCACGATCCCGCACTCGCGAGATTCGAACCCAGGAGCTAATATTACCAGGGTAGGTTTAAGGAGAGAACAAACTGGTAATATATGCTTATTATCCCGAGTGATTAAGTGTCGAATTGTTTTCACATTATTTTTATTATTATTATCCTTGTCTACTCTTACCCCCCCCATTTCCAGTCTAGTTGACCTTTTATTTTAATATATAAATATTCTTAACAAGTATAAGTGTGATCAGATTCTTAGAAATGTATTGCGCTAATATATCACATAGTTCTGATAATCTTAGTCTTCTTATTACATTATCGAAATTTATCAAAGGGACTAATTGCTTTAAATAACTGAATAAATTAGTTCACAAAACGGTGGTTGATTTGCTTTGAAATAACTTAATATTTGAGTTTTGTTTAAAAACGTTACCCGATATATATGTGTTACTTACTCTTTCCAAAAGACTAATTGTTTTCTCCAATGCACCTTCTGGACGACCAAACGGGAAGCAATAACGAAATTCAGTAATTTGTTTTTCCAAAAGTGTTGTCAATCGAGTTCTAATAATTTGAAATTGATCACGTTCCATTGCTAACACTGTATGTACAGCTTGATCATGTTGACTATTTTTTATTAAAATTAATAAACGTCAGGAAGAATTGAAATGTAACTTTAAATGCTATAATTTTTATGTTAAGAGTAATTACAAATAATTGCTTGGATGCCTAACACTTATAGTCAATGTATATTTAAGAGATATAGATACATTATATGAGACTAAGAGGAGCGTTATTCAATTATAAAATTAAACGCGTAGAGTTTTGCAATATATTCACTTCTTAATAATCAAGTAAATCATTAAATGACCTCCAAGGAAAAGCTTGATATACTGATCAATCATATAGTTGTAGACGCTACTCACAAGATTGTTTGTTAGTAGAATGCGATAGGGCATTGAGTTGAAGACCCAACAGCTGTCAGACAGAGTGAAGAGTCTCAGTACATCGAAAGTATGACGAAGGCAGAACACCTGAAGAGCAGACGAAAAGATTGTTCGGGTTTCAGAATACAACGTAAGATCCAGATGGATGATTGAATGTTATGTAGACGCTTTGTAACTTCGCACATTGAACATAGATTCCTTCTAGCTATCACCTTTTTTTACAACATTATAGTATCTAGTATTGCTTCAATTATCAACCTCCCATTTTCCTTCAATATGCGATAAGACTAATTAATACATTAAATACTAGTCAGTTCAACATTTAGAAATGTCAAATAGTCAGTTCACTTACATTTCTAAACTCATATTCTGTATACTGTAGGAAAATTATTTTGTTTTACATTCGGATGTTACTTTTTAGCATCAATTTTTACCCACAAACGTGTAAACAGACAATAAGAATTTTTTCGAACAAAAATCCATCGTTTGTAATATTAGTACATTTATGTAAAAGGTGAATATCTTCGAAAGGTAAATAATTCACCATCATTTGATCCTCAAGAGGTAATCAAAACAACATTCTAATTTTTACTAATAGAAGGATTTCAGTGCTCGAGAAACGATATAAAAGTAAAAGTAAAAACTCTTAAACTGTAAGTTATGGACGACTTTTGAAGGACAGTAAAGTGACCTTGAGACATATCCACCTTCTAGTTAGGGTTAAAAGTAAGTTATAAACTAGTGTGAAGAATTAGGGTTAGAATTTAGAGTTACAAGTTAAGGCTATGAGCTGAAGTTAGGGTTTTCATCAAGAACTAACATAATCTATAATGCAAAAATGCTATTTAACCATATTGAAGAAATTAATTTTTGCTCCAAAATCTAAAACGTGCTATCTTTAATTTGACTAGTTCGCCCGTAACTTAGAGTCTCGCCAAATATATCGTCAATTTTATCGACAGGAAAACCAGCTTTCTATTAGGTTGGTATGCAGCTGTGAAAAGAAACAAAGTGAGTGGATGGTGATTTTTTTTCCTAAAGTCTACAGAAATTAGAAAACTCCGCTGACTGAATGGAAGATATGTTTCATTAAATTACTATCATGTTGAAATAAAATGATCATGAAAAATCATATTGCTTATAAGTTCGAATTACCTGTAAAATAATTATTCAGCTTATCTAAGCCCCCATGAATTCGGACCAAAATAGGGAGAAAGAATAACATATACACTTTCTTCTTAGCTTGGAAATTTATAGTAGTTTTATCTCACAAATATAGTGGATACCGAACCTAAAACTTTAAGATATTGGTGTGAACAAGATACCATTTAGTTAGGGTACATGAAAATTTCGATTCCAGTCGGTCGGCTACGATGATGGTTTTCATTAATACTAAATCTCAGTAAAAGGTTAGTGTCGATTCAAGTAAAATGAACGATGGTTCTCATGCTTACGGAATGTTAGTAGTTTACATGATTCGCTAATCCTTGGACATCATAAATATAAACGGTCACTGAAAAGTCTAGAAATAAACTGTGAAAACGCTTGTCCTAAATATACATGCTAAATTCATTCTCTCAGACAAAATGTACAAAAACAACCATAGAATTGACTTACGCTTTACCGCTAACATGATTAGCACATAAGGAATAACTGATATGAATTAAATCTGGATCTATACTCATACCATTTTCAATTTTATTTAATAAATTAATTAACATTGCTAAGTGACGTTGACATTCACGTATACCATAGCGTGTACAATATTCATCCAATAAATATCGTTGAGTTGGACTTAAACAGCCAAGTGAGACAAATGGATCCTTAGAAAAAAATATTTTTAATGAAAAAAATGGTAATGAAGAAATGGGTTATAATTGTATTTATGGGTACATTATTATGTAATTAAGTATTTAAACAATGCCTTTTTATAGGGTGTTGTGAAGGTAGTTGAGTTTTACACCTAACATCACAGACTAGTCTTAGTTACACAGCCTTTCAAAATCAGGAAGCGATTATGCACTCTTCTATTCTAATAGGAGGCTCTTCAATAGTAAGCACCCATGACCCAATAATAGATCAAAACCAGTGCCTTCAAGTTTCTCGGTGAGCGTTAAACATTTAGACCACTGAGTTAGGATCTATTAGTTTACACTTCTGACCGAAATCAGTTCACTCTATTGAGTGATCATCATTCTAGTTTCCAATGGTTGCCTTACCAAGATCAATCCAAAGGTAGACTTTCTTGAAACTTACTTAATTAACTGATTTCAGACATGGTTATCAAAATAATATAATTTTGTGTTTTTGGAATGATTTTTAAATGCTTCTCTTCTGTTTAAAGTAACTTTGTAACTTTGTTCAAAACGTCAATGTAAACCTTCCAACTATTCAATTAACCTAATTCAATATAAAAAGCAGCATACATTTGTGTTCTGGTTGTTCTCTATCATTTAACAAAGTGTTCACAGCTATATATTTTATGTTAATATTAGTAAAAATGAAAGGTTACCTTTTTTTTTTCTTAATGAGCCTTATTTTTTTTATTTTCGTCTAATAATCTGTTGTAGGCAAAATTTATCTTGTTATACTGTTTTGATCATAAATAAACAACGGCTTTAACTTAGAAGTATTTTCAGTTGAAAATCAGGAATAGATTCAATGACTAAAGTGTAACATTTCAGTTATATCAGCCGCCTTAATATTTTTAATATTATATAATTGTCACTGGCTTTTATACTAATGATTACTAAAGACAATGTATGTAATTCTAAATAAACGGAAAAATGTAAAATTCTGTTTTTGATGTGGGTTTGTTCTCTGAGCTGGATGGTCTGGTCGTCCTTCTGAACGACATCATCAGCACAAACTTCGGGTAGAAGTGTAGTGTTTAAATTTCTCCACATGTGATTCACAGCTTGTCCTGTGCACCTCGATGTGCACTTTGACGATGAAAGCTCCACAACCAAACCATCCAACTCAGAGAACAAACCCACATCAAAATCATCCACCTGAGCAACAAATCTTCTCCGCCATCGTAAAATTCTGTTTTTAAACTTTTGGTAAGAACAAAACACTCTTTATTTAATATTTGAATATTAGAGAGGATGTTTTGTAAACTAATGGCCTGATACGGCGGATAATAGGCAGGGGCCGCCCTCCCCATCTAAATGCTCTCACATGGTCACACGTATACAGCCTCTGACAGAGAAGTCCTACTCACTGCACCATGGACTTTGTTTACGAAATGAAGAGAACGAAAGGCGAATGTCCTGCGCTTTAACCGGGTTGGTGGACACGGAAAGTTCGCCTACGGGAGTTTGAAAACCCTGATTCCAAACCAATGGTGCACATGGGATCCAGTATCCTGAGGGAACAAATGGCGTATGAATCATTCGTTGGTCACCGGCTACCATGGGACTGCATCTCCTCACGATGCTCCACTGCCTTGCGGATCAGTTCTTTATGTCAAAGGCTCGGGTTGTGTCCTCCTAAGAAAACCACCTGCTTCGGTTTGGGAACTTAGGCAGTATCACAGCCCTCACACAAATCAAATGAGATTTGTGTGGCGCATATATATCTGGTGCTTCCTTGTATCAATATTTATGTGTTTAAATAAATAAATAAAATTGAATAATTGGTGAAAAGAACTTATCCACTTTGGTGATGGTTCAATCAAACTGTACATGATTATCATAGGCTGGTCATTGAGATATAAAGTAGTTTCTTAGGTTTTCAAACAAAACATTCACTAATATTATTTGGATTTTCAATCTTAAAGCATACCTGAAGATGTTATTTGCAAATTTTTAAAGTATCTACTTCATTCATAACTTCAGTAAAATTGTATTTACTTGATTTATTTTTCTGTTTCTGTGATCGACATATTATTTTCCCTATCTTCATATTTTGTTTTGTTCACCTTCTTATTCATGGGTCTACATAATTTGAATTTCGTTTTCTACATGTGTTTTGTCAAAATTTACTCTCTTTACCCACCAACTTAATAAATTACGATTGCAAAGATTGGATGTTATTCATATATATCAGTATCAGTTTAATTTTCTGTGAATTAAAGCAAAGTAAAATCCCTGACGAGATGTTGAAATCAGTCGCTGTAAAGCACTAAATCTACGTTCTGTATTGACTAAAGTTTGGAAAATAATGTTCACTTGTTAGTAGTGAGTGAAACACTGGAAGCTAGATTAAAAATTAGTGAATTTACCCAAAAGTGCCAATATTTAGTGTATACATCCTCATCTAAGTTAGTGGAGACAATGTTAATAGATGTATATCAAAATTCATAGTTGAAAGCGAGAGTAAATTGAAGTTAGACCACCATCGAAAACCTGGAAGCACTGGACGACCGTTTCGTCCTATTATGGGACTCCTCTGCAGTGCGCACCCACGACCTCGCTTCGTGATTTTCGAACCCAGAACCTACCATTCTCGTGCCAGTGCACTTAGCCGGCATCCGATGGTGTTTATGTCTAACTCCAACCAATCCACGAAGTTGAGCAACCGTTCACCAATTGTCTTCAGTGAGTTGATGTCTCACAAAAGACGTGGTTTGAACCCCACTGGTCACTGCTTCTCACTAGAACTTCTGGATTTACCTCTCGAAGTCAGTCAAAATTCCCATCACCATGCAACATGATTTTAAACTATCCAATACAGTAAACTGTTGATGCAGAACGTTTATTTAAAATATTCCGTTCAGATGCTTAAGAAGAAGAATAGTTGTGTCACAAAGTTGGATTTGACATTATGCAGTTTAAATACCCACTTATTATGAGCTATTCCAGAATACAAGCTTACCCAACCTTATGTCACTAGTTTCCTTTTAGTCAAAAGTATATCTATACATCAAATATGAAAATATGCAAAATATCCAGTTGTTACATTTCTTATTATCTCCATAAGTTGAATTACTTGATTCCATACTTTGACTAAGAAAATTAAATCCAACATTAGAAACCAGTTTGTTTAATAATTAATCAGATTTTATTTAATATGAATTATTTAGTTGGACAATCTTCAAAATGACATTGAAACATTAAAGTTTCTAAAGGTAAGAACTCTTAATATTTACAAACATCATTGTTTCCTTTAAAGAAAATACTGATGTTCATCATCTCCACAGGAGACAACAATAAATTTGGAATAAAAGATAAATACATTTTTGTATCCGAAGATCAATGGAAGATGTGAGAACCCGGAGAGGAGCTGACATAGCTTGAGATCACCACCTGGTTGTGGCCAAGATGAGACTGAAGCTTAAGAAACACTGGAAAACTGGACAAACAGCACTACAAAGGTTCAATACAGCCTTCCTTCGAGATACTGACAAGCTCCATGAATTCAAGATAACTCTCAACAACAGGTTCCAAGCTCTACAGGATCTACTGAAAGAACAAGAAACTACTTTGGAGGACAACTGGAAAGGGATAAAAGAAGCACTAACTTCAACGTGTCAGGAGGTTCTTGGTCCTAAGAAGCATCATCACAAGGAATGGATCTCTATGGGAACCCTGAACAAAATTCAAGAAAGGAAGAACAAGAAACTAGCAATTAACAACAGCCGAACACGAGCAGAGAAAGACAAAGCACAACCAGACTACGCAGAAGCAAACAGGGAAGTGAAGAAAAGCATTAAAGCCGACAAGCAGAAATACATGGGAGAACTAGCAACGACGGCAGAAAAAGCTGCAAGAGAAGGGAATATAAGACAACTATATGATACAACGAAGAAATTGGCAGGGAGATATAGCAAACCAGAGAGACCAGTCAAAGACAAAGAAGGAAAGACAATCACAGAGATTCAGGAACAAAGGAAACGATGGGCAGAATACTTCGAGGAACTGCTGAATAAACCAGCCCCATTGAATCCACCGAACATCGAAGCAGCCCACACTGACCTTCCAATAGATGTCACTCCACCAACGATCGAAGAAGTCAAGATGGCCATCAGACAAATCAAAAGTGGGAAGGCGGCAGGACCTGACAACATACCAGCAGAAGCACTGAAGTCAGACATTGAAATAACTGCAAACATGCTTCACCTTCTATTCAAGAAGATTTGGGAAGAGGAACAAGTGCCAATGGCCTGGAAAGAAGGATATCTCATCAAAAGACCAAAGAAGGGAGATCTGAGCAAATGTGAGAATTACAGAGGCATCAATTTGCTATCAGTATCAGGAAAAGTTTTCAACAGAGTGCTGCTGAATCGGATGAAAGACGCAGTAGACGCCGAACTTAGGGATCATCAGGATGGATTCCGTAAGGATCGGTCGTGCACAGACCAGATTGCGACACTACGGATCATCGTTGAACAATCAATTGAGTGGAACTCATCACTATACATCAACTTCATCGACTATGAGAAGGCGTTTGACAGCGTGGACAGGAGAACATTATGGAAACTTCTTCGACACTATGGAGTTCCTGAAAAGATTGTCAATATTATCCAAAACTCATACGATGGACTACAGTGCAAAGTCGTGCATGGAGGACAGCTGACAGATGCATTTCCAGTAAGGACCGGAGTCAGACAAGGCTGTCTACTCTCCCCATTTCTCTTCCTTCTAGTGATTGACTGGATTATGACGAATTCGACATCTGAAGGGAAATACGGAATACAATGGACTTCTCAGAATCAATTAGATGATTTGGACTTCGCAGATGACCTAGCCCTCCTCTCTCATACACACGACCAAATGCAGATGAAGACAGCAAATGTAGCAGCAGCCTCCGCATCGATAGGCCTCCACATTCACAAGGGAAAAAGCAAGATTCTCAAATGCAACACGGAGAACACCGACCCAATCACACTTGATGGAGAAACTCTGGAAGAGGTGGAAACATTCAAGTACCTGGGGAGCATCGTTGATAAACAAGGAGGATCGGATGCAGATGTAAAGGCAAGGATTGGCAAAGCAAGGGCAGCATTTCTACAATTGCAGAACATATGGAACTCAAAACAACTCTCAACCAATTTCAAGGTCAGAATCTTTAATACGAACGTCAAGACAGTCCTACTGTATGGAGCTGAAACGTGGAGAACTACTACGGACATCATCAGGAAGGTACAAGTATTTATAAACAGTTGTCTACGCAAAATACTCAACATCCACTGGCCGGATACTATCAGCAACAGCGTTTTATGGGAGAGGACAAACCAGCTTCCATCTGAAGAGGAAATTAGGAAAAGACGTTGGAAGTGGATCGGACATACATTGAGGAAATCACCAATGTGCATCACGACTCAATCCCTAACTTGGAATCCGGAAGGGAATCGGAAAAGAGGGAGGTCAAAGAACACACTACGCCGGGAAATAGAAGCCGATATGAAAAGGATGAATAGCAACTGGAAAGAACTGGAAAGGAAGGCTCAGGACAGAGTTGGATGGAGAATGCTGGTGAGCGGCCTATGCTCCTCCACAAGGGGTAACAGGCGTAAGTAAGTAAGTAAAGTATCGGTTTTTTGAATCTTCCCACTGATGTTAAGTAGTGTAATTGATCAGTCTCTTATCGGTATATGTGTAGCCTGTGCGCATTGGCTCTATATTTCTTTAAATCACATGTATTATAAGCAGGAATGGATGGGTGGTGGCTAGCAGTGAAATCCAGGTACATCCGGCTGACAAGTCCCAAATGGGATGAAACGTGCTTCCTGGATTCCACTATTAGCCACCAACCATCTCCGCTTATAAAATGTAAATAATTACAAATAGATTTTAAATCAAATTGTAATCCCATGAAATGTGTATCAATCTTAAATAAAACTCTTGTTTTTTTTAAAATAACTCACAGTTAACCGATAATCTAGACTTGATGATTGTAAAATAATGAAATATTCCAAATGATCAAGTGTATGTATAGGTATCGAAGCGAATCGATCAATTGTTTTGCTTTGGCCAGTTTCAACATCAACAGCGCCTTTTATTAAAAATGAAAATGTTGTAAAGTGACATTATGTAAGAAACCAAATGTTAATTGGGAAATCTAAATGATTATTTAGTTAAGAAACAATCAAATGTTTTCAAAAATTTTCATAGTTGACTTTGTCGACTATATATTAATTAGTTTAATGTTATCTAGATTAAAGAAATCTAGTTGATTAATTAACAATGTACATAGTATCCTGAGTGACTTGAAAATGTGGTCCATCATTTTAAACTGCGAGATTAGAAGCAATAGAGACAAAGCCTCAAACCTCGATTTTTGTGTTATTAAGCAACTGTGAAGTAAGTTCAAATCCCATTTAGTTCTTAGGTTATCTCGATATTAAGGATACTTCTGAGAATAGTGCCGTTGAGCACGAAATCTAGATCTGGTGAGTTTTCCTAATAACCTCTAACCATCACATACCAAAGGTCTGTACATCCGAGATCTAGTCACCTAAAATAGTAACTAGTGAGAATTACACGAAGACAACATTGGTTAGTGCTCGGTGAAAAAAACGGTATAAGTGATATTATTACTAACGAAATTCAATATCTTAAGTTAGCTGACATATGAACTCTTATTCGCCTTATTTGATCAAAATTTCAAATGATTCTAGTCTAACGATAGCACCATATATATATGATAGCTTGTGCAAAATCCAACTTTTTCGCATTGTCTAACTAAAATGAAATAATGGTTTTTTTAATGCATTTCATGTCGTTTTTTAACATATTTAAGAATATAACATGATGATCAGATTTCAGTGGTTTGATATACTCTGAGCTGAAGCTTTTAATTGTGGGGCTTTCATTATTATTTTGAGCAACATAATCAACACCTCAGATGTTCTAGGAGTGCTATAGCAGCTTATTCTGATACTTTGTATGGAGTTGTTAGTCTATGTAGGTCGTTTTTTAAAGTAGTTTTTGTGATTGACTGACTTCTTCCATATGAATTATTAGATAGGATCTATGTCAATGTGTTTATAAATTGTGAACTATACTATACTATACTTCTAGAAATTCTCTCAATGTAAGCAATAATATTGCTGAGGATAAAAGTGATACATCCTTAATTTAAACCATCTAGTTCATAAAACACTCAGCCAACAGTATCTGTTCGAGCCATCGCTCTTCTCTATTATTTTATTATTGACCCGTTTTGGTATCCTCTCAATAAATCTATAAAAGCATTCATAAGTTATACTAATGTTTTATCTAACTGACACAATGTGATAATAAACGCTAATGAAGTTAGTTTACTTTTCTTTTGATCACTGATAGTGGCTGAAACATTTGATGCTCCTGGTAATGTAGGCTTGTGTGTTTGACCGGTCGCTCGATAAAGAGCTTGTATCCAGTTCTGACGATCTACTTCAGCAGAAGATGCTATAATTATTGTGTCACCTTCTCGGACAAGTTTGAAGAAAAATCTTGGCGAATAATCACATTCCAATCCACCAAGAGGACTATTGCCTACATGCCGTTGACTTGTTATTCTTCCTAATGTACTAAATCTTAACCTTGATAAAGATGTTAAAGATGTAGTTGATCCATGGTGTTCAGGTTTATTGTTTCTGCCGAATGCAGCCATGTTCATCAAATCTGTTATGAATAAGAAATAAACTAGATTTTAAGGTCTATGAATCTATTCAGTGGATAATATAAATGGATAAGCTGAAGTTATACATGATATAATACTCAGGTATCTAGAAGAAAAGTATATTAAATGGAAACTCGAGATAATTGCTGTGTATTGCTTTTACTGCAAAACTCATGTCTCAAACATTTTCGGCTAACTTTTAACTGATATCTGTTTTTATCTTTTTTAGACAATTCAAATGAAAATTTAGTACAAATAGAAAAAAAGACACAAGTTAAGAGTATAATACAAATGTTTCAGGATAAAATGCAGACATTCCTTTAATCTCATAATTTATATTGTAGTAATGATGAAACAATACCGACGAAATAATTCAGTATAATTCTAATGATAGAGCTTAATACGATGTGTTATAAATGAATCCTATTTAAAATATCAGTCAGTTAGTAAGTAAGTAACAACGTAAAACCTAGAGCATATGTGCATCGATTCAAGTTTCCACACCCCACTAACACAGCAACATTAAATTTGGGGGGTAAATTTCAGAATGGTAGGGATAGTAATAGTATTAGCGTTCACATAAAAAATCAGACATCCAACATATGATTCAAGTAAATAAAAATTTGTGAAATAAAAATAATACGAGGAATTCAGAAGTTTGGAATCTGAGGGAAGACAAATAATGGATCCCTCTGCTCCATTGCAAACGATGTGGAGCCATTTCATTTTAAGTCTTGAACCACTGGTTATAACAATCACATTGATATCAACCTTGTGGTCTACACATGTTAACATAACTCAGTTCAACAGTCATTGAATTCATGGACTGGTTAAATGTTTGGTTTGACCGCCCCTAACTATCTTCTAGCCTACTATCATACCAGTTAACTAACTTCTAGGACAGGTTTTAGTACTAATTGGCTGCCTAATTGTAAGTAGATAAAGTCGTTTACTAAATATAACACACAAACTGCAAAAATGAATTATACGTGAACTTATTTTTGTGGTTGTAAAAGAACATTGATCCGCATATTGCCTGTTGTAGCTTAACTATCCTTTTTCTGCCAAAAGAATTTACAAATACTTCTGCTATGTGTAAATCAACAAAACAGATGTTATACTTGACACCATTTGTAGTGTGTAATGTTTGGCTATTTAATGAACATCTATTTCAAAAGAATGGAGTCAAGTAGATAATCATTTATGATACAATAAAATAGCTATCGTGTGTAAAGAGTATTCTTTTTGTTATATACAACAATATTTTCGGTTAAGAAAACTTTATTTTCATGGAGTTTTCTGGAATCAAAATAAATTATGATACCAGTTAATGAGATCACTGACTGTAGGACAGGTTCATGTTGTTAGGTGTAAACAATCTAGTTTAGGTCCCCTCAATAAATCCAATCACTAGTCGAAGTTTAGTGATATGATATATTGCTCGTACACGCTTATCTCCACGCTCTCCTATAACTGAACTTACACTCAAGTAGTGCGTAGACCTACTAAACATTAAATACTTAACGAAGATTTATTCTTGAACCAATTGTATCACCCTGTGGGAATTTACTTCAAAAAGAAACCTACAAAAAAATAGTCTGACAACAAATTCATTGACTATAGCCTATTATTATAGAATTGTAAAGTGCATAAAATTCATATAAATGTTTCTTTTACCTGTTCTTGGTTCACAGTAGTCTACAGTAAATCCATCTAATACAATTGATTCTGACGGTTGAGATTTTTGTTCAGCAAACGCTGCTAATATTGATGTGTACTGTGATATCTTAGTAATGTTGAATGTTTCAGAATTGGAAGAGTAATGGTATGAATAAAATAAAAAAGACTGCGAATAAAGGTTAGATTTGATAATTAATAGAATTTTATTTTTAAAAAAATAGCCGTATACAATCGTTTGACTAACTTTTTAAGTAGAAATTACTATGAAATTCTTAATTTCTAAACACCAACAATCATAAACACTTTAGACATCTATAAGCCGTTAATACAATGATAATAAATTTTTCTATCTAAAGTTTATTTCGTTAAAAGTATCCTACTAATCTACTTTCAAACGTGATTGATGAGTAGTATCAGTAGATATGAAAGATAGTTCCTACAATGTTTTGATTTGTTATTACTTTAAACCATTTATTCAGTTATAAAAGGCATTTTTTTAATGACAACTAATATAATTTGATCCAATAGAACAAGATGACAAAACAAGGATTTCATTAGACAATGAGAACTAGACACAAAGGTTGTAAGCAAAGATGGATAGTGGCTAGCATTGAAATCCAGGATACGCATTTCGTCCTGTTTGGGACTCGTCACCTGGATGTACCTGCATCTCAGAGTTGATGTTCATTCCAGGAGTTGAACCCAGTACCTTTCACTTCAAACGCTATCACGTTATCCACTCAGCTACTGAGTGAACATGAACTCTGAAATGCAGGTACATCTAGCTGAACAGTCCCAAATAGGACGAGACGCGCGTCCTGGATTCCACTGATAGCCACTATCCATCTTTGCTAACCATGCTTGTGAATTAAGGCTATATTGAGGCAATACGCACAGTATACACATATACCAATTAGAGACTGATCAATTACAGTCCTAACACATCAATGTGAAGATTCAAACAAACAATACTAAATGAATTCAAAAATGAACAATATTCAAATTAATTTTACTTATGTAAATGATAAACAATGGTGACTAATTTTTTTCTTCCAGTTTTTCAGATCATTTTGGATTAATAATCAAAATATAATTTAAAATATAGAATTCAATTAACACAATAAGCATTATCGGAAGCCCATATGCCTAAAGTATATTTCAAACTGGAGCTCATGAAATTTTAGTTGATTGCTGAAATAAATCATTGTTTTGTTTAATCTATAGGCATTTTGTACTATTTATTCACACGAATTATCCAAATTAGAAAACAACATTTTAGGCTATTAATCTTTGATCTATACTACTATATGGTCTGAATAATCTTATTGAATAAATTTTTCAGCTGTTGAATGAAGCAGCATGGATTACTAACACATTTCTCTAGTTAAAATTTCTAGTTGATTAAAAATAATTTTTAAGTCGTGGTTTTACCCATTAATAGATCTGAAGTAAACGAGAACACAAGTGTATTTGAACACAAAATCACAGAATGTCTTAGTAAAATCTGAGAACCATAAAGTAAGTACTTCATTTGCAAAATATCAGTCAATAGTCTCAGACTTGACTGTTGCTTCGTGTACACACCGATCATTCTCTGTTCTTGTTCTCTTCTCTTCGTTCTTCTTAACCTTCTGCCGTCAGATATTTCACTTTCGAATGATGATCGATATCATATCATCATATGTCGACATCCGTAGCACACACTACAGGTCTTCATAATCCTAAGTTGTGTGTAATGCCAATGTCAATCTGTTCTTATTATCTAGTACGATAAAACACTCAATCATATATATATATATTCAAAACTATATTAAAGAGTGATACATATTGTTTAACAGTATCGTTTATTTGTTTTCAACATTCGAATCAATCATCAACACAAGCAATTATACATTCGAAACTATTATACTACTGTCATTAAAAAAACCCAGCTAGAATGAACGAAAACAATACATTATCGAAATAATATCCAATGTACATGATGCCAATCAATCTAATAATTATTATGATGATTACAAAACTCGTTATATGTATTTGTTTATTTATGACTTTAGGTATGATCTAAAAATGAGACATCAGTACATGGTACGTACATCATTATCAGTCATGACATAAGTCTCTGCAATATTCATTTAAACAGATATCTACTGATATGTATCAGATCATATATATATAACGTTTATCGATAATTGGGTTGATAGAACAAAATATGCGTAGGCTCATACCACTAGGAAAAACTCGTTCGTTTTCATGCTTTAATTTTCTTTCATAATTGCTTTTTATCGTCCCTAGTAATACGAGTTAACTAGGTTAGTCTTACTAAACGTGGCAGATACTTACTTATAAATAATGCCTGTTAATAAAACGAGGTAAGTTTCGGTCGAGGTCCTCTGGTTAACCGTTATCGATAATTGAAGAACTTATGGATGCTGTGGGACTCAGCCATGAAGTCTGAACCTACCAACATGGATGATTTGAACAGTTAATGACTTTTTAAAGTGTTCTCGTGCTTACTTTTTTTCAAATTTATTTCTACCCCAATCAACAATGCGTATCTAAATGAGAGATATTTCAGCATACGCAACATATATCTCAGCCACCTCGTTCGAGGAGCATTCACTATCTCATCAACATGTTTTCAATTATTGTTTAGTTTGTAGTGACCGGCCAGTCTCAATAAGAACATGATTGGAATAACAGAAACAATTATTATTATTGTAACCAATTGTACCAGAGATTGTTTTACTGTATTTGTTTAACTGTATCAGATTCACTTCTTGTTTCGCTATCCGCCTTGTTTGGTTCGAACTTGCTCACGCACTGCCCATTTCGCCTGTACTCTTTGGCATGTCTCGGTATTATATTGATACCACGAGATCGCCAATAAATATACTTGATCTGGATTAATAAAGCCTTCTAATTTACGAGTAATCAAAGGAACCAAGTCGTTTTTGGACGCGTAATCGAATTGTAGTGGTGATCATAGTCCGTCCTCGACTCGACATCCACTAATAACTGGTGAGGCTTATTTGAAACACGCACAACAAGTTCCTTATACCTAACATATACGCAGCTTACGTATATCATGATAGTTCATTTTTCACAGACATGGAAAAACGTAGAGAGAACAGTAGCGATTTAGAGGAATTCATCCTTAATCTTTCATATATATAAGGTTTTATTATGGTTTCATACTTTTTATCTTTCGACTCCAAGCTTTCCTTAACAGTCATTTTTTCTGTGTTTCACTTTTACGACCACAGAGATTAGGATCACATTGACTCATTTTCTGTTTGTTTTAATAGTCTCTTTTTGATGCGGTTATGTAGTGTAACAGTCTGCGACGTTGAATGCTTGTATCGAGATCAGCAGCCTTAAGGCTGCTTTAAAAGTATTCCGAGTGAATTTGTCCATATTCGTCACTTCATTTTTTTGTTAATATTTATTTCATTTTTTAACTATGATTTGTTACAATGAAGAATATAGTTAAAGTGACCAGTTAGACTCACTTGTATGATACAAACATAACGTCGTTTCCACTTTTTAAATGTGGAACGACCTTGAATCCAGCAAAAATTACTATATTTACAATTAGTTGGGCGTTGCATAGATACTGAAATTTGTATTTCAGCAGGGTCATGACAATGTTTTGTATTTTGTAATTTATACCAAAGAGGGGTGCGTGGACTTGACCAAGTTATATTAAAAGTTACCTGTAGTTTTATATTCAAATTAAATTGCATTAGTACAATATGGATAATATCAATAATTCTATCGACAAATTGTTAAGGAAAACTGTAATCGTAAGAAAAATTGTTCAATTAAACAAGTAACATATGGCACAAATACAAGCCATTTACTATGTTAATATTAGATTTGATGGAGAACACCTCCTTGTAAAGTCAGTTTTCATTATGGATTCACATCAGCTGGACATGCGTTACGTATGCTTGTCCGTTATTTACCTTTACAGCCGATGCTGACTAATGTAAGAATAAATCGGAAGAAGTCATTACCAGTTTTAATGAGTCATGTTGAATGATGCAGACTATCTGGCTTTTGTCCTCATTATAATCCCGATAAGTAGCTAGGAACTTCAGATGACAGGTTCGGAATCATTTGGAATCGCGCATTAGTTTTCATCACTTATTTTCCTATTGATTTCGAATCCCAGTAAATTTTTAGAACTTATCTTTTTTAATCTGTCTTTCTGAACAATATTTTCAATGCTCAATCTTTTTCATTATCAATTCTACTACCTTATTCAGATATTTTTTGTTGTGCATCTTGTTACTTTCATCTCGTCGTGCTAATATATTATGGTAGCCTAGGCCAACGCATATTGGTACAAATCTCTACGCTGATGATGACTGACCGGGCTGGAGAACCAAAAAAAACTAAAATCGAGTTTCGTCTTAATTTTGGACACCTTAGTAACAAGTTTGAACGTATATCACGTTACCGGCGTGCGTTCTGTTCCGGTGTTAGAATATAAAGTGTAACGGCTGTCCGATACTGCCTTATTTTCAAAGGTCCTTTAGCTGATATTCGTCTCCAATAAAGTCTGACAGAACAAAATAATCCATTATGTTACACAAAAATATTCTTGTTTATCAAACAGAGCGCTTGATTTATTCATCCCTAAATTTCCCTGAATTGTTTAATGACCAATGACGCCTGTTAAAACCGATCTACTATTCTTGAAAGTTTACAAATAATTTTGAGTAAAGTAAATCTTATTTAGGATTGAGGTAATAATAGTTAACGAATGAACCTCGGTCATCTGAATAATCATAAATATTTCTGACATTACAATAAATATACCCTTCCAAGTTCTTTATCTTCTAGTGTCAATGGCCCTGAACATTCTTTGAAAACCTTCACTTTGATAACTGGAAGAGTTTGAGATGTTTGGAATTCTGCAGTTGTATTCCATCTGAAATGGTTTAATAAAATCAAATGGAACAAACAGTTACTTCATGCAATGATAATTCAGTTCAATATTTAAAAAATAAAACCATAAGTTGGAATATCTGTCTAAGTTACACATAGTTAAACTTGTTTATAATTACCACTTTATACTGATAATTATGCATTAGTAGTAACTCTGGTTTTGCATATATTTCGTAATTTCAGAGTAGATGTATAAGAATTCGTTGATCTTTGTTTCATTTCTGCTGAATCTCAAAGGTGCTTAGTAAAACATAATCGACTGAATTCTCTTCAACACTCGCCGCCTGATACACTCTGTCACGTTGTTTATTGAGGTAGTAGTTCAATAGAACGGTTAATGATAGAACCAAATATAATATCAGTTCATACAGTTACTGAACATTTGTATGAGCTGTGATGTAAGCTTTCTTGTTTGCAAGTCCAAATAATGCATGGTAAATAGTTGAGTCGTTAGGCCATCAAACTCATGAACAGTTGTAGTAATCAGCATTTTTCCTTCAGTCTTACTCATTTATTTCCGTTATCGTTTGGCTTCTAGTTCTTAACTTATAAATATAGCTGTTTATCTAGCTTTCCAACATTTTGACTGAAGTTTTAGGGACACGGAGATTCATGTGACCTCACAAAAATTTAAATATATACAGTAATCAAGTTAACAAATTTATTGCTAACAACATCGATGAGATACAATGCAACATCGCCCAAATATAGTTTTAGGTCATCTTCAAACTGATAGTCTCCAAAAGTTATGTCAACGTCCATCCAAAAGCTAATGTTTTACATGACATGGGCTCTGAGTATATTTAAAAAACGTTGATTTCATTTAATGGAAGGTCCAAATAATCAAAACTACTAACCTGAGAATTTGCAATTAACGACGTCAAATTGTTAAGTTTCCAAAATTTGTGGTTCATAATAATCTTATACATATACTGTTTTAAATAATTGTTTTCTGTCACCATTAGAAGTATTTACTAACCTCTACATATTTTTTAGAAAACAACTTACATAGATTTATTAACCTCTACTGATTCTGTTCTCTTCCGATCTGGTGTACCATCCAGTTCTATAGCACAATAAAGTTTCTTTGAACGTGGTAAACTTTGAATATTCCTGACTTGATGAACCAGTATCTAAACGTGAGTACAAAGAATCCGGAAGTAAATATCTTTGGGTTAAAGAAAGGGAATGTTCTTAACGACAAAAGGTGGTTGATAACATTAAAATAACATCAATTAATCATGAAATCAAAATTTTGAACCATTGACAAAAAACATTTTTAAAATTCTTATCTAACTAAATTCTGTATAATAACCTTCAAGGAAACTCCATAGATTCCATGAGTTAGATTAAGCAGACTAGGAGTCGTAGGTGAAAGGCTAGCGAACTCGATTTTTAGTGGTTGGAGAGTAAGTCCAAACATGAAAGTCCTGGGTTCGAATCCCCTATACAAGATTGTGGGTGCTCACTGCTAAGTAGTCTCGTACTAAGACAAAATGGCCGTCCAGTGCCTCCAGGTTTTAAACAGTGGTCTAAAATACATCGATTCATGATCTCAATCAAAAACTTAACAATCTTCACAACCCTACACTGATACGTATCCACTAGACCGAATCCAAAGGTCGTTATAATATGTATAAATTTCAAAAACTTCAGGATTATTAAATAAATTATACTAATTTATAAATAGCCATCAGTTGGATTACTCAGGATCCCATTGAATAACTAGTGAGTGTAATGTAATGTGATCCATAAATTATTAACATTTCTAAGAAATCCACCTTACATATACATCAGTTCCAAGAAGAGGCACTTTCAAGTAATGAGGAAAAGTGTCTTAAGCCAATGGACGGTACAGTATTTATACGACTACTTAGGTGCAATAAGTTTATTCACATATTACTACATCTGTTGATTTCAATATCTTGGATAATTCAACACTCGTTTACTAGTAAACTATCTGTATCCACTCAAAGTTTTCCTGTAGAAAAGCAACAGAACCACAGCGGAGGGTACAACAACACGTGGATGGCTTTAAATGGATAATGTATAAATATACCATATTACTTACTTCAATTGTTGAAGAAACCTGCATAGCCTCCCTTGGAATTTCATGAGTCAGAAACATCGAAGAGGACTGAATACCATCACTCATTAAATGTACATCGTCCGTTATTGATAAAGATGATCTTGATGAATCCATGTCCAGTTGTCTTGACCAAAGATCATTCATGGAACCAGTGTCACGTACAGATCTGTTGGTTCTACTTGTCTCGCCAGTGTGCCAATTAGATAAAATTGTTTTTATAGGATGTTTTCTTAAATGTCTGTGAGCTATATTTACACCTGTGGAATGTGTTTTAAGCGCTGGTATCGAATCTAGACGTCGCATTAATCCATTCACTCTCAGTTTTTCCTCTTCAATATACTGCATCTCCATTTCTTTATGTACCATTTTAGGGAATGAACGTTCCTTTATCAATCAAACATACTAAGTTAGCAAACTTTTATACACAGCGCCATACAAAACTAATGGCAGGAAACAAAATACAGCATGTTTTTAATACGAATAATAAATAGTTCTACCAAGATATGGTTGTGTTTTCTCTAAAGATTGGTTACAATACTCTACTGACATTTATTTTAAAATATATAATCCAAAACTTCTTCAAATATCAGTTGGTAAAATATAGAGGGATGTGAAGAACAAGGTATATTTTAATGCTGATGTATGAAAGCTCAACTCAAGCTTCTGTATAACTTAGAGACATGTATGATAATATAATATAATAATTCAATAAGGTGAAACACAAATAAAACAATCATACTGTGAAGAAATGAATCAGGTGAAGATCGTACAATAAATAAGTCAACGAACACGAATAATACCTAATCAAAGACCTGGTACATTTAAAGAAATTCAATTAAAATAGATTTCTTTCAGTTGATAGAATTCATTTTCATTTTTATGCAGAATATAATTGCAAGCTATACCGCTATACTTTCGATGTATTGTGAAATTCCTACACTGGCTTAATACTGACCAATGCTACGTAATTATCTTGCATTTCGATAAACCTTAAATTTTTCCTGATACTAAGCCTTCCCAAAGTAAAAAAAAATGTCCCCATATTCATCTTACAACAAATATAATGATCGTAATCAGTGTTTTACTTGATAACCATGAACCTATCCAGAATGTCAGTGACCCCTTCCTTATACATGAACTGGTTTCTACTTATATTAATTTATCATGAGAAAATTTAAACATTTTCATTTACAATTGATTCACAAACTGAAATGAAATATAATAAAACCTCACGAATAATTCAGTATTCACCAAGTGCATTAAAAAACAATCAAAGAATACTGAGTCAGCATTAAACGGTGTTAATGTCTAACTTCAATCAATCAGTGGTCTTGCACAACCCTTCATCCATTGTCTTAAGTGGATAACTGTTTCCACCCGACACGGATTGGACTCCACTGGTCACGGATTCGCACTAGACCTCCAGGAGATCTATCTTGAAGTCAGTCATTAGTGAACACGTGTGCTGGACATTAAAACCGCTGGTTACGTGCTCAGTGGTCTGCAGTTTAAGCGTTTGTACGCGAGGCCGAAGGTCCCGGGTTAGAGTCCCGCGTGCCGGACAGTGAATGAGCACTGTTGAGTTGTCTCATACTTCGACAAAATAGTCGTCCAGTGCTTCCAGTTATTCAGTGGTGATCTAGCTTAGATCAACTTATGTGTTCAACTACTAAAATAATTTCGATCTCCACAAATCCTTATTCTGATAATTAACGGACAGTTATTTATGTAACTTTAACCACTCACTTTACACATTTTGTCAATTTGTATTAAACGTTCTGACAGTTCTCTTTTTATTTGAGATGCTTGTTCATCCATATTATCAAGCTATAAATAATTTAAGAGTAAATTATATAAGAAAATGCAATAGATTTATTTATTTTAAAGTCAGTTTTTTATAAACTACTAAATAAGATGAAAGGGAGTAATGTAGATTGGATTTATTAAATTAACAACAGTTTATACTTGTATAGTGCTGGCTACAGTAACTTAAAGGATTATTAGTTTGTATCATAATATAATACTGTAATATTCTTTCAAATATACATTTACAGATATTACCCCCAATCATGTCCAATTGAAGTAATTCCATTTTAGTTACATATAGTAATATGTTTACAATCAAAGCCTGGAATGAAAAAAGTGTCTAATCAAACTGAACTGTTTCAGTTTTCACAAAACAAAAAGTAGAACAACATATGTAAGCGAACAATTGTTTTCAATTAGATCGTCATCAGGCTTTACTCTAATATACATGAATATTTATATGAAAATGTTAGACCAATCAAGGCTATTTGAGTCAATAATCACAATGAAAAAGAATATGTTACCAAGCATAATAATAGTTAAAAGTACAAGTTGATAGTGGGAAGACAAGTGTACAAAAAGTGGTCGACGAATTTGTCCGTATATTTTTACGGAGGTCGTATGTCTATCAGAATGCCGTGATTTAGCTGACATTGAACCATAACTGGATATGATCGAAGTATTCCAAACTACTTTTAAATTGATGCGCAAGTTTAAATATGGGCATTAGATGGTGGCGAATTTTCGTTAGATGTACGATCTAATTGTGAATATCATCAACTGGGGAATGTGTACTTTTAACCATAACCGTCATAAATCAAAAACCATTTAATTAGTTCTGAGAATTTTTTGGTTAGACTAGACAGAAAAGTATTTTACTTAACACTATTAGATATATTACCTTAATAGCATCAATTTTTAGAACCCCAAGTTGACATGTAGCCATAAATATTCAGTAAAGAAATGTGTCAATTACCAAGTTTGTCACTTGTTCAAAAAAACTGTATTTAATATTTCTGAATGCTTGAACCATATAAAAGGCTGAATGTAAACTACTTCTAAACTATTCATTTATTATGCAACAGAAATGTAGACGAGGATTTAGTTATCTGTGTTCTTTTTCATAGTAAAATTTGAGTTTTTTCAGATAAAACAGTGAATCATGAAGAAACCACTTAAGCTATTTAAAGACGACTGCCATAAAAATCCAATCGTATTGTCAAATGAAGATTTATCACTTATTTAAGTGTTTCGAAAGATTTGGAAATTTTATATAGTCAAAATCATGAGTCAATTGAAGCTAGACCACCATGAAAAACCTGGAAGCACTGAACGGCCGTTTCGTCCTATTATGGGACTCCTCAGCAGTGCTTCCAGGTTTTCCATGGTGGTCTAGCTTCAAATGACTCATGATTTCAACTATATAAAATTACTAAGATTTGTAAATGTCACTCTTTGAATGAAAACAAACTGATCTCATTAGTATTTGTAGCAACCTAAATGATTCAATCATAATTGGAAAGTTTAGCACCAAATTATATTTTACCTTTTAAAAGGAGGTACTTATTGATGTCATTATATTTCGATTTGGGTTAATAGTTATTAGTAAATTCAGGCCTAAGGGAAATTCAAAAGTAATTCAATTGTGACGAGAATTTTCCAAATCGTTTCATTGATATACAAGTGAAATTATCCAGGAGGATAGAATGTAACATGATGTTTTACATAGAGGAATAATTTTTAGTTCAATAAAGTGACATAACTTACTGGTTGGAGATAGTTGATGGGAAACTCTGAACCTAGTCTTCGAGTAAGTTGGAGCTCGTCGATAAGGCGTACTTGTAATTTCGGCGTAGCTAACATTCCTTGGTAGATTTAAATCCACGTTATGCAGTTTCGAATTCTGAGATATCATAACTGAGCTATTTAGGCTGAGATTAATTCCATATTCCTTTAATCCATAATGTTGATAGAATTCTGATCCGAATCAACCAGGGAACACCAGCCTTCTTAATAGTTCGAATCTCCTTTTCTGAGGAGTCCCTACCAGAACAAAACCTGGGTCCAGAGTTCTCTGCGACTTCCTCCAAGCACCTCACATTTTAATACGGTACACTCAAAGTTAGCTTACTTGAACATGTAACGACATTACCAAATGGTGAGTATGATTTCATTAGCACTACGATATCGACCAAGATGACACTGATCTCTACTCAAATACCAATTACTGTGTTGAAGGATAATCTATAACCAGTGCAATGTCGTTTATTTTCTAGTGATTCAATAAAGTTAGTTTCATCAACGTCAATGTTCACTGCACATATTTCTATATACTTGTAAATGTTTTTTACAAGTTATTAACGTAGGTATGCACACATCACCACCTATCATTTAGATAATCTTGTAAATAACAATGAAGCTCACACTTTCCCATTGAACGTTTTCTGCCCAAGCCTTCGATGAATTAAAAGAAAATTAAACTACATCTCTTGTTCAATTTCTTTCAACTATTAGGCTTTTCCTTTCTTTGCAAAACTTAGTAATTTCTCAACAATCATTAACTTCAAATATGAATGAAATACGTATGCTATCAAAATACTTAAAGCAGACATTCTTTTAAAGCAATTTCACAGATTCGACTTACTTGACACGCATTATATAAAATTTGATGTTCATACTTTTCAACTGATATAGTACGCATTAGTAATTCATACAATTGTTCATTAGATAATGCTATAGGCTCTGGTTGTGGAACAGCTAATTTCATTGCTTCAGGACATGGTCCTTCACCGCCACGACATATTTGATCAAATTTAATTTTCCATGCACTTAAAACACTTTCTTTAGATAAACCTTCAACTGGTTGAATACCCTGAAACTGATAAAAATAGTGAATTTTGACCAAATGGTTAATTTTGTAAAAGTTTACATAATAACTATTTTTTTCAAATTAACAATCAAAAAGACATTTTGTTAGTCTAGCTAATTAAGTATTGATTAGATAAACTTATTTAATTGTCTATCATACCGGCTTTACAAGAGTCAAATGAGAAAGAGATCCAGTTACTTGTTAAATATTTAGATAAAGTAAAGAACAAGCAATAGACTGATAGCTCAACTCCAAACTTATCAGAGGTTTTCATTCAATGTTCATTCCTCATACCAGGTGCGTATTTATGAGAAGCTTTTGCACATTAGTACTCGATTAATCACTGAAATTCAGGATACTCGTTCTGTCCTTTTTGAAACTTGTTAGCTAGACGTTTTCGGGTCTCTGTATTAATAAGACTCAGATCCAGTACCGACCATACCAAACATCAGTGTGCTATCGATTGAGCAATTGAATCCAGATATCCCAAATCTATTTTGAGCAACCAGATATTCTTTGAAGACGAACATTCTCCTACAAAAGCTGGTCATACAGAGCTATGAATGTCAGAAACGGGCATTCAAAAATCCTTTATGGTTAAATTAAAAATGTTTTAGAAAGACCTACCTTTATTCACTCAATAATTCAAATAAGTACAACAAAAATGTGTCTGCAGAAATTCGTAATATATGCATAAACTGGAAGTAATGATACAATATACTCAAAACTGAATTATCCATTGTTCTTACTGTAACTCTGTAACCCAGTACCTGACAACTAAGAATTCAAGAATTTTTTGACAGCTTTAACTGAAAATGACACATCATAAACTGCGTCAGTGTCTGTATGATGTTCTAAAAAGTTTTTAAAAATCGTCCATAAAGAATAAGCTTCAGCCTGGTGAATTCAATATCATACACGTATTTTAAAATTACTCTCATTTTGTAAACAGTTTTGTATTCCATTACATTCTTAAACTAAATATACGTAATATTTGAAGGACGTTTTAGTAGAAAATTACATTGTAGATCTTAATAGTTGAATTCACGAGTCGATGTAAGCTACACCACAAATGAAAACCTGGAAGCACTGGACGGCCGTTTCGTCCTAGTATAGGACTCCTCCCCAGTGTGTATCCACGTTCCCGGGTGCGGGACTCGAACCTAGGGCCTTCAGTCTAGTGAGTAGACGCTTATTTTATATGGAATTTGAAAAAAATTCGAATTCCTAAGTGCAATCAGTCAAATAACAGCTCAGTAGTTAATTATGTTGTCTGGATATTTACTGCTACTGTTAGATGACTGTTAATCTAAAACCTTTGTCAAGAACGACTCCGTACACCCCAGTTAGTTTTCAAATCACCGACCTCCAATGCCCCCATTGTTTTAAGATACCAATCAGCATACATTCATTCTCGCTTTTATTACAGACTTTCAAATGCATTACAACTGCAATTGCATTTTCCTAAGTTTTCCATCAGATAACTCGATTTACATGATACTATTAGTTAAATAGCACTTTTTAAAAAGTATTTCTGTCTGTACAGATTGTTGAGTTTAGTAGTGACTTTTTAAATAAGTTGATATTTTCCAATCAAAAAGGTTGAGCGTCCGCGAAGCACCGAAGGTCCTGGGTTCGAATATTGCTTGCGAGATCATGGAGACGTACTTCTGAGGAGTCCATACTGGAAGGAAACAGCAAACCAGTACCTCCGGGTTTTCAATGGTGGTCTGTCTGCACCACAATACCAGCAAGTTTGGTTGAAAAGTATAAGTTATTGAAGAAGCCTTTTATTTTATTCTCTCAACATTATATAAATTAAAAATACTACTGACTGAAAGCTAAATGTTATTGAATATTTAACACCTAATTAAGTTGAAAAATATAGACTTTTCCGAAAATTACTTACTTGTTTTTCAATATTCGCAATAAAAATTTCCCGAATATCATACATTGAACAACTTCCTGATTTAACCATATTTGAAAGACGATCACTATTGAGTACAGCTTCGAAAAATTCATTTACAGCAGTATGAAATGCTTCGTCACTACTGATAGCTAAATCACCACGTAAATACAACTTGAACAAAGAGAACATAGATTAATATAAATCACTGAAACCTTGAATAGACTTAAAAGCCTTATTTACCAGATATATTTATATGAGAAACAATACACTAATGAAAAATAAAAAATACCATGCATAAGATAAGATTCAACGAAATAACAGTTCAGTCTGCTGATAATTACCATTTTTCATATTGTTGAAAGACTTTCCATTAGACTTTTAACATTAATAGTCGTGAAAGAAAAACTACTACTTGCGTTTCAAGACACCAATGTTTCAGTGGAAGCTCATCTAAAATATTTCACTTTGCTGGCATTTCTTAGAATAAAAAAACTTTTTAAGATTATAAATCATCAATCTACCATGGCATTTTTTAAAGTTAATTTAGCTAATAAGCTTTGAATTCATTAGACAAGAAATTAGCTCCTTCCTGATTTATTTTTTCCTACATAAGTCGCTTCCACAGACTAGTTTCAAATAAAATATAAGTTAAAGTTAGACACTAACACCGTTGGATGCCCCCTGCCTCAATAGTCTATCCGTTAAGTGCGCTGGCGCAAGACTGGTAGGTCCTGGGATAGAATCTCGTGAGGCGGGATCACGGATGCGCATTGCTGAGGAGTCCCATAATAGGACGAAAGGGCCGTCCAGTGCTTTCAGGTTTTCCCTGGTGGTCTAGCTTCAATTGGCTCATGATTTCAACTATGAAAATACTGAAATCTCCACAGAACCCATTCTGATTAAAATATAAAGATTAATCGTAACAGATCCCATGACTTGACTGTATTAAAGATGGCGTATATTTGGCAAAAAATTATTATTAGAACATCATATGTTACTGTTGACTGTAAAATATACTTTGATGGAAATTTTTTCTAAGCTGTGATTGTTAGTGACAAATATTTCAATGATATTGAAAATCTAACTATCCAAAAGGAAAAATACTGAAAATATTCAATCAGGATACTTGTAAATAGCTAGGAGAAACAAATCATCTTCTTTGACATAAAGATGGCCAATAGTTTTGTCTTTGAAGTATCTATTACAAATACTATACAACGAATCATGAATTTTATTATTTAACTAATATAATTAAAAATAATTCGTTACATGAATATCTATTGATTTTGTAATATTGTATAGTTGAGATCATGAGTCAATTGAAGCTAGACCACTATGGAAAACCTGGGAGCATTGGACGGCCGTTTCGTCCTATTGTGGGATGCGCACTGCTGAGGAGTTCCACAATAGGACGAAACGGCCCTCCAGTGCTTCCAGGTTTTCCATGGTGATCTAGCTTCAATTGACTCATGATCTCAACTATATAAAATTACTAAAATCTCCCCAAAACCCCCTTCTGATTTTGTAATAGTTTAAAAAAGACATTATTCAATTCGAATAGAATTAAGTTAACAGTTTATGGAACATATACTTACTGGATAAACATTAACGGAGATACGGAAGAATTGTAAGAAAGCACTAAATAGTATATATAATATAACACTTTCAAATATAAGCTTAAAACAGGTTACTGTTTCAAAGCGTTATGTTATCTGATTCAATGCTATAAGTAATATTTTCAGTGGTCCTGAAAGAAAGTTATCTAATTAGGCAGAGCAAATTATTTTTTATAAGAGATTGGTTTATGAACTCAACTTAAAGTTACTTATCCTAATATTTTTATTGCAATGAAACTATGAAGGTATAACTAGCAGAATAATTTCTTCTATCTCTATGAAATATATGCGCCTGACATATTCAAAAGTATTATTGACCACTTTAGTGAATTAAAACACCAACGGTTATCATAAGTAATGTACATTACTCAAAAATAACACATTCAGCCTGCAAATGTTATTAAGTTTAGTTCAGTTTATCCATAAAGTGACTATAGTACAATATACATATCGTTACACTATAGTAAAATAATCAAATACAAACAATATCACCGAGGGTTTCTCACTGAATAAACTGTAGTATGGTGAAAAACCAAAATGTTAAATTATAACCAGCTTAATAATACATTATTCAAATTCCCTGAATGATAACATCTCTAAACTATCCTGAATGATTAAGAAATTATAAAATGCAAATAAAATTCGAACTGTCAGTTTAAACTTGGCTGCTTCTCAAGCAAGTTCATAATACAAATTACAAATATAATTAATAAACAATAACCTACCTGAAAACGTTCCTTCAAGATATTCAAATAATCTTTTGTTACTCGTAGATATCGCCTATTTTGACCAGTAGTATTAGTAGTAAGAAGTGGATAGGCGATACACCGAATCGCTAGAACATACCTTGAATGTAAAAATTAATTTCGTATTTCTTATAAAATTTTTAATGAAAACTTTCGTATAGTATAAAGGTTATTTTTATGAAAAACCATAGCAAGTTTCCTTCTAACTACCACCACCTTACATCTCAGCTTAGTGCACGCAATGTCGAGTCACCTAGACTAGTGACTGCATTGCAATTTGACCGATAGAAGGACCTCATAAACATGATATTGGTCACAATCCAGTGATCACTCAATTGTAAATGCATCTCAATCCTATAGAAGGTCAGTTGCGACCAAGATAGCTCATTGATAATGTCTTTGACTGTGAAGTCGAGTGACACGAGGTCGAGTCCCCAAGAAGCATCAGCTTCTTCAAGATCACAGGCACACCTAACTGACGAATACCGAATAGCACGAAATCTATTTTCAGGGCTTCCTTTCGACGACCTTCAACCACCACTTTACATAGTCAGTTATACCCAATGTGCAACCTGGTACAAATTAAGGTTACAACAAGTTACCACATTACGTCATCACAAAGTTGATAAAATAAATAGAGACTAAACAAAAGTAATCCGAACATTTGTGATAATGAGGGGAACGAATCTAAAGGATAAGATCTGAAAACAAGGAGTGAATTAATGCACAATTTGCATGAAACAATATTGAAAGCGAAACTATAATGATAGGCAGCATAATAATCTATAACAAAATCATGTCACCTTATACTTGTGACCACCGATTATGAATAACATGAGGACATCAACAAGACAAAAATAATTGTTTAACTTAGCTCAGATATTTGTTAAAAGGAAGACAAACGCTAGGGAGCATCAGTTCCCTCAAGATCACAGGTACACCTTGCTGACGAGTGCCAAGTAGCACGAAACCCGGGTCCAGGATTTCCTGTTGACCACCTCCAACCACCAACTTATCAATCCTATCCAACTCATATGTATCACCTAAGAATAATTTAATTACCTACGTCTAAGGTTAAAAAAAGTTCTAAGCAAGAATGTAAGTTTATATACATTTTGAAATGGACATTTAAAATTTCCTATTCCTTAACAAATGAAATGTCAAGGAAGAATTTATTTTGATAATCAAGTCGTAATTTCGTTGACGTTTGACTGAGCTACAAAGTTAATATATTTTTAGTTATTATCAGAAGAGGTTTTGTGGATATTACAGTAATTTCAATAGTTGAGATCATGAGTCAATTGAAGCTAGACCACCATGGAAAACCTGGAAGCACTGAACGGCCGTTTCGTGCTATTATGGGACTCCTCAGAAGTGTACATCCAGTATCCCGCCTCACGTGATTCGAACCCAAGACTTATCATTCTTGCGCTAACGCTTAACCGTTCAGTGCTTCCAGCTTTTCCATGGTAGTCTAGCTTCAATTGACTCATGATCTCAACTATTGAAATATTTTTAATTGTTTATAATTCAAATGACTTCTAATCATCATTTGATGTAAAAGCAATGTTAATTTATTACTATAATGATAAACCTATTCATATGGCTAATATTCTTGTCTTTGATAATTGTTCTTTCGATTATTTGATTAAATAATCCAGTCTCATAAGCATTTATCACTCAGTTACATAATATTATTGTACATTCTCAACTGATCAATACTTCATTGATTTACTTTAACCATTTTAATTACTTGTTCATTATAATCATACAAAATTCCCTTTCAAAACATTGCAAAAGTTAATAAATTTTTCTTTAAATTATAAAAGAAAAAACAGGGTTCTAATCTACTATCTGTCAGTTAAATTATTTCAAGTCAGTAGTTAAATTAGATAATCCCTTTCTTCATAAATCAACATCGTCTGGCTGTCTATTAAGAACTAAGTTGAGCTGTTTAATATTATTAATATTTACATCTCACCAGTATACTTGATTATGTCGTGACTTGATTAAAATTTGGATAAAAATGGAACATTGAATCATCATGCCCTTGATAGGAGATCTGAAGATTCTACTTTATTCGAGACCGTGAATGGATCAATGTTAGACTACCATTCAAAAACCTGGAAGCACTGGATGTCCGTTTCGTCCTAGTTAGTACGCATCCAGGATCCCGCACGTGAGATTACAACCCAGAACATTCGGTTTGGCGTGCGAGCGCTTAACCTCTAAACCACTGAGCCGGCATACAACGGTGTTAATGTCTAAATTCAACTGACCCACAAAATTAAGCGACCATCTTCCATTGTCTTTGGTGGGTAACTGCCTCAATGGTGGTTTAACATTGATCGATTCATGATCTTAATCAAAAACTCGACAATATCCACAACCCCATACTGATAATTCTATTTTACATTTCATATATATGGTTATATTACTATGGCTACATGGTAATACTACGGAGTCATCAACCAAGGTGAAATACCTGTACAGTACTTCTTAATTTCTTCACGTGAATCCAATAAATAGCTTGAATAACTTTTTGACCAATGCTCTAGCAGAATTTTAAGCTGTCTGTTAAAAACTGTAAAAGCACTACAAAGATAATTAGCTAAACCATTAAAAGGTTTTTCCATAGTTCATTTAAGTGATACAAGCTATCAAGGTGAAGTTACAATTTGTTTTAATTCTTATTTATTCCCGTCTGATAGAGTAGTAGTTGAGAACTTTGCTGAACATTTCCAATAATTACTGAACTAATAGTTTTCTCCAATTTACCTTCTAATAACACTGTTGAACTAAACCAACAATGATTCATATTTCACTCATCTGTTCACTTTCATTTAATATTTTTATTCATAGTATAGGTAGAATAAAAATGGCAAATCGATAGCAGAATAGAACAAAAATTAATCGTTGAAAGCGTGAGTCAATTGAAGCTAGACCACCATCGAAAACCTGGAAGCACTGGACGACCGTTTCGTCCTACTGCGGGATTCCTCAGCAGTGCGCATCCACAACCCTGCATTCGAGATATTCGAACCCAGGACCTACTAGTCTCGAGCCAGAGCCTTTAGCCGATAGATCACTGAGCCGGCATCCAATGGTGTTATTGTCTAACTTCAACTGGTCCACGAAGTTGAGCAACCGTTCACTAATTGTCTTCAGTGAGTTGATAACTCACTACAGATGTGGTTTGAACTCCACTGGTCACAGCTTCTCACTAGAACTCCTGGATGTACTTCTCGAAGTCAGTCACTAGTGAGCATATGATTATATTGATTATCAGAAGGGGTTTTGTGGAGATTTAGTATTTTCATAGTTGAAAATACTGGTTGGGGTCCGCGTGACTATCGTAACCAATATTTAGAGACTTTGGGTGACATGGCTCAGAATCGATCAGTAAGTGTAAGTGTAAGTGTATACACTCTTTATCTTCCCTTAAACATTGAGATTAAAATTACTTCATATCTGGCTTCCTTCCTATCCTTATATACAACCTTTCTTTTATATATTACTACCACAAAATTAACTACTTCTATGAATCCGGTGTTCATGTTGTTGTACTAACGAGCTATGGCAACTTGGACAGATGCATAAATGTGCCTGATCCTACCTCGTAACTGAATGACTGACTGACTATTTTCTAGTCGATTTATAAGGGTTAACCTATTCTTAAGATCACTTTAGAAGTCGATTAAATTCGACAACATGGTACAATTTTATCAGGATTCTCTTTAGCCGTTGTATAACAAATAAGTTTTCAGCCGAATATATGAGTATTAAACTTCTTAATCACTATGAACAAGGTTTTTAATATATAGACCCAAAATAAAAATGTTTGATCTCTTCAGTCTGTGTATTATCAGTCTTTGATAAGGATTGTTCAACAAATATATTATAGAAAATAATAATATTTTTAAAGATTTAAAATAAAGTTGACTTACAATTGCAGACGTTTATTGTGCATTTCCTCTTCTGGATCACTGATTACTAATGACGGTGGAGGTGGTGTAAAATATTGTAAATTTGAATTCTTATTTATTCCCATTTGTTTGCTCCACTTTGACTTGGTACCTTGACTATGACATAGAGGAGCAGAACGAACAGAATTTGAGGCAGACTGTAATTGTCCAGCTTCTGTAGAAAAAGTACCACCAGAACATCCTGTTCCAGCTGATGGCTGTCTGTGGAGTAATGATTTCAAAGCATGCTGACGACCTGAACTTAATGATATCCCAGCAGATACAGAATTTGTGCTACTACTCATAAGCGATGTCAAGTCTGGCGAGATATGTTGTTCAGATGACCAACAACTACTACCAACAGGACTAAGTCGTGCTCCTAAAGAGGAGGCTTCCAAAGGACTTTCAAAGCTTACACTGAAATGCGTTGAGGTTGTAACAGGCACACATATATCTTGATGATCAGCACCACAATTCAGTGTAAAATCTATCTTTGATGATTCTGTGACTTTACCAACACAATCTCCTAAACGTGGAGGCCGTTGGGCATCGATGAATGGGCTATGAACATTAGAGATTTGATCATATTGCACTTGTTTCCATCCTGTGGGCAAACTTTGATCAGTTGTTCTATACTTTAGATTAACCTTGTCATCTGGTGGTAATGATCCCGATTTCAGTAGATTGTTAACTTGTGGCTTCGATACCCGGTCAATCTTATGAATGCTATTTTTAAGCGAAAAATAATGAGTTGTAATATTAGTTTACTGCAAGATATTGTGAATAAAATATTACCAGTCTATTTGCGAACAATTCTTTTGAGTTGATCTTTCATTCATAAACCTTTTAAAGGCATGTATCTTTCGCGAACTTTAATATCTATTATGATGCAGGAAATAAGGAATTTATTTGGAATAGTTGCGTAAGCTTATATCATTTATAATATTGGTTTGTATCTCACTGCATCAACTTTAAGACGCTTCAAACTATTGTCGTGAAAATAACTTACTATAGGTCAAACGGACTTCAACGTAAATGGAATAATGTTTGGGCATACAACAATGAAACTTTACAAAACGACAATTATTTGGATTGGTTGGTAATATCTGCATTTGAAAAATTCTAAATTGTAAAAGTTGTTCCGTAATAAATAGAGCCACGTTTATTATTGACATTCACATAGGATATATCTGTTCTAAAAACTAACCTTGAATTTTGATCAATAAATTATTAGTGTTAAATTTGGAACCAGTGTTGCTCAAACTCCATTTCTCAATGACGATGGTGTCTAATTTCATACTCAAAAATGTGAGTAATCAAAACAAAAGCTAAGAGTATACCCTAAGTTGAACGTTCCGCTGAAAATCTAATTTTAATTTCACGATTAATCGAAGTAACAAAATTTACCTGCTCACATTTTGCATTCTCATTTATTCAAACAGCTTAAGAAAAATATCTCTTCGTCGAATTTTTAAATGACAACTTATTTTAATCTTTCAACTTACTTCTCTTCTTCATCTAATTTCAGTAGTATAGTACAGGTTTATTGCATTCTACTTTATAGTTGCATCATTCAGTAAGTTATTGGTTAATGGGGATAAACCATGATGTAATTAAATTCAAATATACATTTATATGTTAACCAGTAATCACCTACCATTGAATAATAAGCCTGCTTTTTAATTAAGTTTATTTTCCATATAGATCACAAGGATCTTCTTATTGCATTTCATTGATCTAAAATTGACATGCTTATTGTAAAACATAAGTGTTCTTGGTTTGATCCATAGTTTAATTGTTAGTGTACACTGTTAAAGAGTCTAATTTCAGGATAATGTAGGTATACAGTTCTTGTTATCCAATAGTTCTAAAAATGATGTCATTTTTTTATGAAAACTAACACACACAATTCTTCCAAACTCGTAGCTAATATAATATGGAATAATATGGAATTATTTTTCAAAACTGAACGAATAACAAACAATTCTTTTTATAAACGGCTGATATGGTTAATTGAACTATGAATGGTGTTAATTAGTGTAAAGTCTGGAGCAATATAATTCATGACAATAATACTCTTACCACAAAACAGTTATTATCATGTCAGAGACTTTAAGTTTAACTGACTGTTATATTCTAAGGAAAAATAAATAAATGGAAACTTTTGAGAACTATTTATGGACAAATAATATACGTATATTCTTAATGTAGCTAACTAGATTATGTATATCCATACTCCTCTTATTACAAGCTTTATTTTAACCTATAAACTACTATTATACAATTTACTATTCTTAGGTTATTCCCAATCTATTAGTTACAGTATCTCACAATGACATCCACTTTTGGCCTGATATTGTATAATAATTACTTTTTATTTTACGGTATGATGCGGTCTGATTTGCTTATATATAAACTGTGTATGTCTAAAATACATGTTTCATATAGTGGAGGCTGGGATTGTGTTCTGGACTCAACAGGCAGGGCAAGGCAAGAAAAGCCAATAAAAACTCAGAATTAACTCTAGACTGCTAGTGCTCGTTGGCGCGTCATTGGTTTGGTACAGGGTGTTTTGATTAGCGATTTGGTCAAGTGATAATTGACAGGGCTATAAGAACATAACACTGACTATACAGCAGTATACAGAAAATAACCTGGTATTCATCTTCCCTTGTTTTCCCTCAAGTAATTCTCGGTCCAAACAATGTAGATACTACCCACAGAATATTCATTTTCATATTCATTACTATCTCAGGAAGTCAAATAATAGTAGTATTGTCATTATTTATATTACACCACCTTAAAGAACAAACTGTATATTATCTGAGTCGGGTTTGTGGGGAATAAACGCTTCTTTACTTTGCTGCTGACTGTAAATGTATTCATTAGTTCAATCGTCGAATAGAAATTAACCAACACACTTCAAGAAATTACCGAAATATAAATTCATTACAAGTGTATGGCAAAAAATTTCAAAAATTGCAGGAACAAATCAGTAAGTCAGATTTATTATGATTCAACTTTCACCTGATATATGGAGATTGACATACGAAATGCATCAGAAGCAGGTTCAAAGTGGCAAGGCTATGTAAGCATTATTTCTCTTTAATCTCACCATGCCAAAACAGATTTTACTTGAACGAGCTGTTCAAATTACACTTTATCAACACTTAAAACTGTTTAGAAAGAAATATCAATGCCGAAATTCTTCATGCAAAGGAATTATATAATAAAACAAAATATATGACAGATTATTCCTCAAGGATTTTCTTGACTCAGTACGACCCGGTTATTAACTGTGAATTTCAATACTAGGATTGCTATCTTACCTATAGAGTTCCCAAATTAAAAGAAACTTCAATAGAGGGTAATTTCACTGTGGAGTAATCTATGTAAGCGACTAAAATATTTAAAACTATGTCAAGAAGTGTTTCAGAATATACTAAATCGATTGTTTTAAAATGTTCAACTGATTAATGCTACAAACAGCAAGTTACTGACTGCTACCATTGTTTCAGACATCACTGTATATAAATGTTGATCACGCAAATCAAAGATTGAATTAAAAGTATGATAGTGATAATTATGTTCTTCACGAAGTGACAACAAATGTAGAACCACTGAAGATCAGAAAGTACTTAACCGTGGTGTTCTTCTGGGGTGCGTGAACTCCTATGCAATGTACATCATATATGCCCAACTGACTGGAGATAATAGTGTAACTTAACAGGTTCTAGCCTACTAGATTTAGAGTATTTTACTAAATGTCAGAACTGAATGTGTGTTCGACCATATATAAGATATCAATACATACTTCTGAGCAGTCCTTAGCTCTATCAAAACTGGTGCACAATGTTCACTGGCTTTTAAAGTGTTTCTTCAATTGACATTAAATACCAAATTATTTTATCTTGAAGTTACATAAATTTCTATACGAGTGCAAGATAAGCAAGATCAATTAGCGCATCGACAATTCTCCAGTAAGACAGACAGCACATCCTGGATTTTATTGCTAACTAAATATCAAATCTATAAAACGTCTTTGGTATTGTTTAATTGTTAAAATTATTTGCTAAGATATTGAAAGGAAATATTTTACGAAATTTAAGTAACACAAAAATCAGTACTTAATTAAAACCGGTATTATCCTAGTCTTTCTATATTGACCAATTAGGAGAAATTAAAACAAAACCCGAATAATATTATGGACTTTTTTGAATTATGACAAGTGAATATACTGACAAATTATCAAATATTACTTCTGCTAAATATTATTAAAAGCTGAAATTAGATTTATTTAATTCCATGATAACATAACCATGATTATACTTTATGAATGATTATAAAAGATAATGACTATCATAATTAACTATTTTTGAATAGGAATTCATTGGGGACTAAAGACATAATATTCTTGGATTCAAGTCCCAGGTAAAGTAGAGTTTATGTTCATCAAACAAATAATCAATAAAATATTACTCAATTAAATAAATAATGATTTATGGGCTCAGTTAATATCAACCCTATTTCTGTAATTACTTATGATATTACCCAAATAACTCAAAGTGAATTGAATAAGTGTAGAATTTAAATCTGTTATATAAAAATTGAAAGTTGAGTACTATAATGATTGATTTATCTTTTCATATCTGAACTTATACAGTTGATAATCATAAACTAATAATAGTGAAAATGAATATGACATAAACTATTTTAAGGAAAACTTAATACATATACATTAAATCAACTTACTATGTAATTAAAGTTGTTTTTTTTTTCTATTAGGATAAAAAAAAACTAAAATTATTTATTATTACGCAATAAATTTATTTTATATTCTAATCATTTCATTGAACATTGATCAGCTATAAACTACGCAACATGTAACATATAATAAAGTCTAATCTAATCAACAACAACAAAAATTGACTACAATTCACCCATGATCATTGTAAGAATAGGCTAAGGTATAAGATCATGTTTAAATCTAGTGTATGATATATATTTTCAGGATATTAATTACTTTACTTTGAATTCAGTTTAATAATAAATGATCAATATAACATAAATTATTCATTTGAAATTCATTTGCATGTTTCCTCTATTATTTGTGTATGATTTTCATTGAGTAATTATCATCAAAGACTAGTGAGATCTAAATTTTTTAATAGGTTGAATAAAATCTTAATTTATAAGCAGAGATAAGTGGTAGATAGCAATGGGAACCAGGACGCGCATTTTATCCTACTTAGGACTTGTTAGCAGAGTTTACCTGTATCGAAGATTTGATGTTCGCCCCGGGATTAGGACCCCATTGCACAAGCTAGTAACTAAGTAGCTAAGTGGATAACGCAATGACGTTTGAAACGAACAGTAATAGATTCGAGTCCCGGAGTGAACATCAACTCTGGGATGAAGATGCTAGCCACCATCATCTTAGCTTATAATGCTTGTGAATTAAAGCAATATCAAGACAATCCGAACACAACGCACATATGCCAATAAGAGACTGATCAATTATGTTCCTAAACATCGTTGGAAAGATTCAAACAAACAATACAAAATGAATTTAAAATCTTAATTTGTTTTTATGTTCTTCAATGAGTAGTGAGAATTTCATTCTCATTCTGTTTCGAGACCCGTTTTCAGGGTTATAGAATATTCATGAAGATAGCAGGATACACTCCAACCACCAAGAAAGAAGGCATTCATCCGCATAATCTATT